CTCCACAGTGGGGTTGTTTGGAAGGTGGATCTCCTAGCCTGGGTCTGGATGTTGAGGGTTCAAAGCCTTTCACATCCCTCATGCCAAGTCATGTTCTCTTCTTTCCTGCCACTTCTAGCTTGGTCCCAGGTGCATGGTCCATGGTCAGGTGAAAGCTTGCTGGATGATTGGCCATACACATCTGTACAGGAAATGCTTCGTCACTAGATGTTACTAGCAATTGGTCCTACAATGCTTCAATATATAATAAAGTCAGCAAAGTGGGACTATACAGGCCAGACCGCATACGTACAGGAAGAACTCACGCGGCGTGCTGCACGTTACGGAACATCTCTATGCCAACAGCGACAATCACCTACGTGTGTTTCCAAAGGCATGTGTGCTGGAGACATTTTTTGTGCATCTGGTGCACCATGGACAATGTTTACAAAGTACAGCATTGAGAGGCATGTGTCATGCAACACCGGAAATCCGGGACACGTGCAAGCGTAGGATTGAAAAACAAGAAGCAATTAGTCACAAATCAAAGCCTGCCGAAAGGACAGCACAAATCAAAGCCTACTTTGATCCAGCAGCGGGCTGGCTCCCTGTTCATACAACTGTATACAACTCAAACACCCGACCTAGTTGGACATTACCCAAGTACCGTTGCAGTTGCGGACAAGCCCTGAGTACCCAGTGCCCCCCGCCTAGACTGACGCAGTTCAAAAGGATCACAGAGGCCAGGAGTTTGCCAAACCTGAGTGCTGGGAAAAGCATCACGGGACTATAATATTATATACCTACAGTATATCAATATATAATCATTACATCTTCACCAGCTGACTTGCTGTGTACAATGTTGGGGGGGGCATAAATAGGTCGCCTGATGTTTGTTAAAAAAAGGCTTGCCTTTCTGGATCCTGTGGACCACGAACAAACGATACGACGATAACTGATGCCGGTGTCGTCGTGCAATCCATCAAGCTCTCTTTGAGGCGGTTTGTGTTTATAGGAAGGCTTACTGTAAAAGTAGCGCATGAAGACCTGGACATGACCGAATTACAACAGAGGAACTGCAAACATACTGCAAACTCATTTCCGGTAGATTTTCCAAAACGCATCCCTAGCTTCCTTCTCGAGCCAGCCAGCGGCTCTTCCTTCTCTCCAAGGTGCAAGGAAGAGTCTAGAAACCTCCGGGTCTTCTTCTGCATGACCTACACGCGAGTCCAAAACAAAGACTCACATGGCCCTACCTGGCAACAAATGGAACCTCATCGCATTGTTGGTATTCAAAAGCGTGCCAGCCAACGGGACTCAGCAATTGCTTAAGGCCAGGTATTGGGATTGATCTTTGATTTAGAGCCGTCAGACCCTCCGAAACTTGTATAGATAACATGGCAATACATGGACATGGCATCTATACCAAACTTTAGCCTGCTTGACGGAGTCTTGGAGGATTTAGCTCAACATACTTCAAACATCTTCAAACGTAAGAGTTTGCTTGGTGGAGCCCCATCAAGGACCCCACAATCCTCAACCCACAGCAGCATTCGAGGCCCGCAAGAAAGTTCATGCGAACCGAGGCCGATGTTCAAGTCCAAAATTACAATATCTCAATACGGATGTTGCGAGGAGTCCAGCAACACAAGGCCACAAGGGACACTCTAGCAGCAATCGTTGGAGTCACTAGACGCACTCAAAACATTGACATGTTCACCAGTGGGCACTGGTGTGTCCGCTTGAGATCTGGAGCTGATTCCATGAAGGCTTGTGATGGCGCTGGTTGGATCATGCGAAAAGTGGCCCAGACCCCAGCCGCAATGCACACTTGGGTGGGTAAGACCTGATGATTGTCGCAACTGGTCACTTCCATGGCCATGAAGCAATAGTGTCCCCAAATTGCACACATGGAAGTTAAGCTTCCCCAAAGATCTAGGAGCCAAATGAACTGCGTCCAGTAGCTAGTAGCTTACTAGTAGCTATCAGCTACCATTCTACCATTCTACTTCTAGCTACCATGCTACACCTCTTCTTACCTTCTAGCGGCCTACCCCCCCGAGACCCCCACATAAAAAAAAAGAACACACATGAATCACATGAATGAATGTATTTCCTTTCTATTTGGGGCCCTGGAGCTTGGGCACCTCGAACTTGCTGTCTGTGTCGTAAATCTCGTCACCGAGTCTTCGATGATACATCCTGGCAAAGGTTTCTTCCAACATCAGGATCTGCGTCTTCCGACGTTAACATTCAGCTTTCACTTCTCGAAATGTTTTCTTGCGGTCATTTGGTGATTTGGGTCAGAAGCCGCAACATGTCCCAACACTTCAGTGCTGGTCAATGTAGGGTTTGCAACGACAAAGCCACAAACGGATTGCTCAAATCTTCCGGCCGCACGAAATGAACAAGTAAGAACGACTTGATTTTGCCTATGCCATCCTATGCCACAGTTGCCCTGACGGGTGCGCTTCAGACTGGAAGCTATGAATCATCACGTTGGTGTCACCCACTTCGAGCACCAACAAAGCCCACTTCCCCTTGAACACCACATGCACCTGCCATGTTGCATTGAACAAAATCCTCAGTCTGCTGTCTCTGCTCCACCTTCCCTCCAACGTCGTCATGGAAGTCACTTTGATCTTCGGAACATGGAAGTCCACAGGGTCAGTGCCATCCAATTCGACGCTGGAGGGAGGTAAGCTACCCTCTGACTCACTAACATGCAAGTGGAAAACCACCCGCTTATAGAGGAGAATAATTCATCCAACAGGCCATTCTCCACTTCCATGTTAGTCGGAGTGTATATCTTCCCAGTTCCAAGCGTCTGCTGCTGATGAAACTCCGCATAGTCATGCAAAGGCTGCACCGATTTCCGCAGCAGCCGAGGATTGTGCCTTGGGATGATCGGCGCACAAAAAAAACAGACAATTTGGTGGAAGTCATCTATTTGGAGGGACCGGCAAAATCAAGTGGATTCACTGCGTTTCCAGGCTTGAAGACTGAAGACCGGAGGGTTTCCTGCTCGATGGGGCTAGGATGGGCTGGGAAGCAAAAAACATCAAAAAAACTGTGGACAATTGTAGACCCACCACACATTGCACTTGGAGGATGACCACACATGACATCATACGACCACGAAACGAAAACAGCCCGTCCGAGATAAGCAGCAGGGTCGGTCTTGCCAACCAAACATACTTATATATAGGCTGCTTGCTTTGTCAATGCAATTGTAGACTCGAATGAAACGCACAAGGCCGAGGGTGATCTTCTTTAGGTGGTTTGGGTGCTAGTTCTGTGTTGCATTGTTGTTCTGCATGGTTTTGCCTGTTTGGCTGACTTTTGACTCTCTGCCCAAAAGCACGCCGTACCGACACCGCGAAGGGCTCTTGGGTGGCGCGAGGATCGGTGCACAAGTGGAGTTTTGGTCTAGCTACTATAGTATCTTTTTGTTACATTTTGTTACTATATAGTAGGCGACCCCATGCCGCTTCTCCATTGCTCGCCACGATGCTTGTCGTCCCCAGGTTCCTCCTTCGCCTCGTCCTTCACCTCTTCGAGGGCTTCTTGCACGACGGCAACCTGACAAAAGAATACAAAAGATACAAAAGATTGATATCCTCAGGTCAGGAGATGAACCCGTTCATGAAGCCTTTAAGCTGTAGAAAGCCACAAGTGACCTGACCATGGCAAAAGGTGTATGAGCGACCTGGTCGAGTCTATGGGTAGCACTGCACTTCGCGCCTTCTTGGGCTCCGAATCTGAAGGCTGTTTGTGCATTGGCACGTGGGGCAAGTCGATTTGTGGAACCTGAGCTGGCGTTTGCACAACGCAGCGAACAAAATAGCAGGCCATTCCCGGCTTTGCCAGGGAAGCCCGTTGTTTGAGGTCATTTGTATCCTGACCTAACAGTGTCAAGGCTTGCGGTTATGGCATGGCATAGACTTCCCAAACTGGATCGATCTCCAGCACATGTGTCCTGTCTTGGGATCTTACTGTTGGTTCACCGCCTACTCAGTCAACCTCTCACGCACGAAATGGCCGGGGCTTCCTGGTAGACTCAAGTCGTTGAGCCGTGACCAGAAAAAGTGACCCCTGCAGCTTCTCAACATTGTGATCCATTTTCCCTTCTGTGCATTCGCTGGAGCAAAACCAATCCCTAATTGGATCAAAGGATAAGCATGGTTCACCATTTGTTCACCACTGACCAGACTGGCCGGGTAGGTTTCTTAACCCTGGCGGCATCTTCTGGCACCAAGCGACGCTCTCCTCGACCCTCATTAACTCTTGAACCTTCGCCAATGCAGACAGCCTTGCAAGGCTTGCCAGGAGGTTAGTGGGGTTGGGTTGGCGGCAATGGCGTGGTGGGTGCCTCTCATGTAGTTCAACCATGTTCAACCTGATTAACATTCCCTCGTGTCATGACTGGGAAACATGATGATTGGTCGTTTGCCTTTGGAACCTGGCCGAAGAATTCCAAGACGCGAAAGCTACTGAGGCATACATTCATCTAGTCAGAAAGCAGCCCCCATCGAGAGTTACATACCGAATCCACTTCACAATTGCCAGCTCCAACCGTTGCATTGCATGGCCCGTTTTCTCCATGCGCAGCCAGCATTGCAGCTCATTGCGTCCTTGTCGGGAAGTGGTACCAGCAAAGCACGGTGAGCCACCATAAAAGTGCAAAAAAAACATATGGCTCATTTGCTCAACGTCATTTTGCACGATAGACGTGTTGACACGACACACATTTTCGCAAGCTGGGGTTGATGGGATGGGCACACCACTAGCTGCTGCCACATCAAATGCTCCAGAAAGGTCCCTAAATATAGATAATTGGACCATTTAAAAACGCATCACAGCCTGTGAGCCTAGTAAACACTCAAAATCGTTCAAAACCAATCCTTCATCAATCCTGTAGCGGGAGCATACAGGAGCCCAATCAAACACCAAACATCAGATCCAACATCCGAAGTGCCAATCTTGTTGAAACATTAAGTGACCACCCGAGTCACACGCGGCTACAGGAAGGCTGCCAGATTCACTGCAGTGACCAGCACGGTCAGGATGACACCGAAGGCCATGAGCAGCAGATCCGAGCAGCAACGCTCGATGAGGAAGTAGTGTGCCGCTGCTGGAAAGATAAATGCCTAGCAGATCAAACATGCCTAATGGAACAAAAACAAATGACATGCCCGGTTTGAAGAAACATGCCCACACGGAACCTAATCAGGTTACCTGCCGCTCGACGGTAACCTGATAAACCGCAAACCTGCAAAATACTCTCATGGATTCACCTGGACAGTGATTTGGGATTTCATTTGGGCAAATTTGGATTGACAAAACGTTCTTGTATTTGTTGATTTACGATCACCTGGGGCCACTGCCATACCCCACTGGAAGGGAAGGAGATGGGAAAGTTGCACATCTCCGATCAAAAAGCCCCACAGTTCTGATTCTGAAAGGACCAAATTTGAGCCGCCAAATCCCTCTATCACTTCTAAGTATGCTCACCGAAGCACGCCGGGCTACTTTTTGTCACCCTTCGGCCCTCCAACTTCAGAAAGTCAAGAGGCCAATGGCACGCCACACAAGGCCCCAATGAGACTCACAAAGTTGTCCAAGTGCGATGCGCCCGCATAAGCGATGAGCGCAAACACTGCCACGAGGACGGCGCGGAATCCTCAGGTGGCAGCCATGGACGCGGGTTTCGGATGGCTCGGACGAATGGACCAACTTGGTTAACATGGTGCATTGCCTCATTGCAGAAAACTGTACAACATGAGAAAACAGCTGTCCGCAGCACCAAGCTGATTTTAATACCGATACTGCAACGCTGCCTGAGCAACCACCAGGGAGCTTCTTGGAGCACCCCATGCCACTTGGTTCATCATGGTTCATCTGACTATCCCAACAAACAGTTCATGTAACTATGCTATATTATGTGTATGGGATCAGGCTAAGCTGCACTATGTGTCTGTACAGGTGTCAAGCTTGGACCCCGCTAGGCCACTGATGCAACACGCGGATGGGCCCTGTGGAAGTCCCTACGGTTTCGATGAGATCCACTGCAGGATCCAACTCCATCAAGTCCCATACAACCAGAATGCAATATACAGGAACTGATCCAATTTGATCGAACAAGTTGAAACAAAACGCCACATGGCAAACCATGTGGCGAACTTCCAAACCATTTGGCCTCGGCCGACCTTCCTGGACACGGCCCGAGCGTCCGGACTTGGCCAGCTTCCGGGCGGAGGGCGGGTCCGACACCGGCGGCCCAAAGAAGGACAGCTCGATGAGCCGTGTGGCGGGGAGCATCTGAAGTGGGAAGGAGCACAGGACCTGAATGAGCACATTCAGGTGTGACGCTTTTGAGGTGAGAAGTAAGGTGAGTTTGGTCGGAAGGACATGGAAGGAACTACATAACTACAGACCTGAGAGCTGACAGTGACCTCAAATGACACCTCCGTTGTTTGAAAAATGGCACCCACTCCAATGAAAACGTTGAGTTTCCTTCCCCGCACCTCACCTGAATCATGAAGGCCATGCGGACCAAAAAGACCAAAACATTTGGCTGGAAGTCGAGCCTTAGAGACACGCAGGCGTCAACAAAACCACAGCTGCACGGCCTACTTTTGTTGAACAATATAATCATACATAGTGTTATATATATATATATGATATGATTGAAGCATAGTGATTCATGCTATAATTCATTACGATTCTGTGCGTACTGGGGCAACACATAGGAACAACGATTGCCTCAATCAAAGTCTAGGCTAGGCATGTCTCGGCTGACATTATGACTGATCGAATGCCGTTACACACATGTCCCCGTGGTAGAAAGATTCGGATCGGGCTGTTTCATCCTGGCGTCTGGAACCTCCCAAGTGACAGCAAGACTAACCCATCTTCCCCCCTAAGCCCTAAGCATCTCCAAGCCCAGTGTTGGGGCCTGTCAAAAAATTCCGCAGGCAAACTTCAGGATCCAAAGAGGGATGGGTCGGAGATACACATCCTGAGGATTCCAAAGCCGCTTTGGGGTGGACTCGGCTCCCCAAATCTCGGCCCTCAACTTTACAAACTCAGTCCCATTCTCAGTGGTCCCATTCTCGTGTGAAACCCATGCAGGTCAATGACTCGTGACTCAAACACTCTCGAGCCCTATTTGTTGTGGCTGGCTCCATGCGACACATGCAACCGGTGATCCTGCCCGATCCTGTCGCACGTCAATGTCCGGGATGCAGGATCAGGTTGTGTACGCCTTGCCTCAGGGATATGTGGCTGCGAGCTGCCCGACCAACGCAGGGGTCTTAGATGGGACAAAGGTCCACATGACATAGTACCTAGATGTACCTAGCAAGAAGTTCAATACAGCTGGTTACGACGCCACCAGCCTTTGGGTTTTGAATAGTGCTGTTTGTTTTGAAACATGCAACGTGCGCAATAGCCCATCAAGAACACCTAATGGTGCTCAGGTTGGCAAACTGGCGCTCTCTCCCTCTCTCTCTCTCTCGCCCTCACTCCCTGTCTCTGCCTCATTCTTGCAACGATGTCCTCGTCTTCTCCCTATTGCTCATCAATTGCAAAATCCAAGCGGCCCAAAGGCTAGGTACCCAAAGAGACCAATGCAGCAAACCAAACACAACGTTCCAGTCTGAGTGACGATGTAGATCCAGGGAAAGTGCTGAGGATTTTTTGATGCATCAAAGGTTGGTAGGATGAGCCCGATGCCTTCGCACGGCAATTCGTTGCAGGATAATGTGGGCAGTGCTTGAGTCAACTTGCGTGAGTGACTCACTTATATTGGGTATAGTATACCGTGGTCATTTTCACAATAGCATGCTTCAGCTCCCGCAAATCCCAAGCCTTCGAACATGAAGCAGGCTTGTCCCAAGCAAACCAAGACCCCACTCCAGTTGGATAAAATCAAGTCGTCCTTGGATGTGCTCGGTCCGGCAGGTCAAAAACGCCCAACCACCTGACGGACGAGAAAGGGTGCCTGATGCAAAGCACCGCACCAAAACCGAGAGCCATGTAGGATAAATTAGTCGACGGTATGGTATGGTATCTATTGTGGGTTCGTTTCCTTGTCACACAGGCTTCGATCGTGACACGCCAAAAAAACAAAGAAGGCGCCCAACCTCTCAAACCCATGCTAGTTTCTCCAAGCATCTGGCTGCTCGTGAGCGAGCGCACCTAGCTCCAAACCAAAGACCACCAGGATCCCGAAGATCACAAGAGCTGTACCTGCAAGTTGGCAGTCCAAAAGAGAAGTTTGCCCGACCCTTGAGAAGTTGCTCTTTTCGCCATTGGTCTTTTGTGGTCGAAACATCTGAGGGCCTGGAAGTATTATTGTTAACTCCATCTACTCCAAAAAAAACATCGTATTTGTAGTATGTTGCAATGAGACCATAATATGCGGCTCGGACATGTGGATGTAGACCTTATAAGGTGTCGTCAATGATGTGCTTTGTGCCTGCAAGGGTGCTCAACTGACTTTGGTTGGCCAAAGCATTCACACCGCACCTAAACAAAGAAACGAGATCACCCAATCTGTCCAATCTGTCTCGCACAGCCCCTGAAGGCTCCCAGTTCCATTGCCAGGGCACCCAGGAGACTCAAAGGCCAAAGGGAGGAGATCTTTCGGATCGCGACCACCGGCAGGACCACCAGAACCATGCAAGGAATCCTCATCCGGCCAAGTGTCGCTAGCGTTTCGCCAAATGTGTCAAATCCATCCACTTCCCCTTTGACCATCTTGAAGTGAAAGAGTGTCGGGCAGCCATTCGGAATTATATAAGTGTTCCATCCTTTCCTTGAAGGAATTGAACTTCTCCACCAATACTGAAAATCTACAGTATCAACATCTAATAATTAGCTGCTACCCGGTGACCATCCTGCAACTCTCTACCACGCATGTGCGACCACCCTCTCTCATGGACCAAAGCTCAAGATGTTGAACCCCAGCCCTGGACAAATGGTGCTCTGCAGCAGCTTACCTTGGATCAGCATCGTGACGTGCGCTGCGACCGTTGCGAGGTGCGGGGTGATGGGGACGCTCCCGAATTCCATCGTCTCGATCGTGCTATCCTGAACATGGTTCCACGAGTGAGCGGCTCTCAAAACTTGTGGCATCTGGCTATGTCGTCAGATTTGTCTTACGCCACTTCTTACGCGATCACAATGGTAGCTTACGCAAAGCCTATAAATGTTATCGCCACACCACAGTCACAGCTTACACGCGATCTGTTTTCCAGCCAGCGCCCGCGGCGCACACCGCGTTTCCGGCAAAAATATCTGGCAGAAAGGATTGGCACTTGGAAAGCACTGAGTCCAACAGATCTGTTACATCCGCAGCTGGGCAGTGAGCGGCAAGGAATGTTCATTAATGGGTTGTGTGGTCTTCCACAGCGAACCTGGCTTACGCAGTACTTACGCGAAGCTTACGCGGATTTCTGCGACCAAAAGCCTGGAACGGATTCTTCTAAGGATGTTCAAGCAGTTTGTCAGAAACACATCCTGCATGTTTTAATGGTTTATGAAAAATACCATATACGGTGCAAATATGTGTAGATGTGACATGACATGTATGCTGATACTTGGGCTTGCTTACGCAGCTTACTCAACTCCTATCTCCCACAAAAAGCTTACGCAACCTTACGCACACCTAGGCTTTGCTTATGCGAACCATTTTCATATGACAAGCCCACAACCAAACATTAACAGGGAGGTTTTTTAGAGTCGCACGAGTCATCCGCCTGACCAGTTTGGATTGCCTGTCCAACTTGGCTGAATCATTGGCCACCATGCAACAGTGTCCTAGTTCATCCCAGCTCTCCCTCTATTCAAGATCCAGGCCCAGTTGTCTCCCCACTGCCAAGCTGCAGGCCACTATGAAGTAGGTGCAACAAATCCCAGATTGCAAAAGCATGATGAACAGATTCGCACACTTTCGGCCGTAGAGGCCGAAGGCCGCCCCAATCAGATCACCATAGCCCTGATGCCCAGAGTCTTGCATCCGCACCTGTTGTAGCTGGAAGCTGAAGTCATATGGGATGATATCAGCATGCGCTGAGGTGATCTGGATATGCTTGATGGACTAGGCCAACTACGTATTGGCGCATGACTCTTCTACATTTGCTCTTCCTTCCATTGGAAAAGCCACTCAACGATAAACATCGTGAGCACTGCCATCCACTTATTCTACCCGCCACGTAGCCTATCTGCTGCATGTCTCGGCGAACCTTCAAGAGAAGGAGGGAGCACCAAATGGAGATCAATCCGATCATAGGTACAGTGATGGATGCAAGCCTCGGGAGCTTCAGTGCAGTGTGTTGAAGCACCAGTCAACTCAGCCAAGCACCACAAAGACAAGTTAAACACATCAAATCGAAGTGGTTTCAGGATAGATTTCAGTCAAGTTGCCTGCTACTGTTACATACATGTTTTCCTTTTTGCGGCTTTCAGCTAGTGAAGACATAGCATCCATAGCTACCACATTGCAGTCTGACCCACCATAACCACCCACTTGCCATGCAATACCCTACAGCCATCGCAAAACATATGGACACAATAATTATGAAAACACTGGCGGCCTTGCTCCGCAAATAACTGCATAGGGAATGCAAGAGTGATAGCACAAGCGCCGATTTGCAACCTTTCTTGCCAGCCTGCTATGAAAAGGCAACAAAGAAGGATGGATACTGCACAGCTGTCCTCCAAATAGATTCAAAGTAGATGTCCACCAACACATACCAACACCAACTTGCCGTTGTTTATTTTCAAAATTGTTCACCAAAGCAGTCGCCTCGCCACAAACTTCGGTTCGGCCCAGGTGCACGAGGCCTCCATGCATCCATCCGCGCGGCATGTACAGGATGGCACAGCCGCAGTTGCCCTTGAAAATCAGAAAGGCGATATTTAAATCACCTGGGCCACAGGAACGGTCCGCAGCGAAGAACAAACAGTTTAGGTAGGTGGAAACCAGAAACGACACATCGTGATAAGCGTCAGCCCGTGCAAGGATGCAGGGGTAATGGTGCCCGCGCCTGCAGTGCCGGTGACCGGTCTCACTGCTGAGGGTTCCTCATCCAAGTCCAAACCATAGAAGTGGCTCTCAACCTGGAAGCTGTGAACGGCCAAGGTGTCCTCAGCAAAAGGAAGGGCTGGTGGAAAGCGAGTGGTTGGACTGACGGAGCATATGCTGCATCGAAGTTACAGAAGTATCGAACAAGTTCATCCCTCCAACCATCATGGCCATTCAGGCCAGGAGCCCAGATGGCTTTTCACCTAAGCCACGTATCTTGGAGACAGTACTCCCTTTGGCATTAGGTTGGAGGCCACGGCTATGAGGCTGGAGGCCGTCGCTAGTAGGTTGGAGGCCATCGCTAGTCATCGCGATTAGGTTAAAGACCTTCCACCATCGCTAGTAGGTTGGAGGACATTGCCATTGGTGTGGCCATTGCTATCAGGTTGGGGGGCCATCGCTGGTAGGTCGGAGGCCTTCGGCCATCGCTATTTGGCTGGAGGCCATCGCTAAAAACAAAAACCACAACAACAACAACAACAACACCAACCACCAACAACAACAACGACAACAACAACTACTATTCTTTATATACTTACTTCCTTCCTTGCTTCCTTGCGTCCTTGCTTCCTTGCTTCCTTGCTTCCTTCCTTCCTTCCTTACTTCCTAGCTAGCTACCTACCTACTACTCCAATGGACTATAATCAAGTGCTCCAACCACACAAAGGCGAGGGAGGCCATCGCTATGAGGCTGGAGGCCATTGCCACTAGTTTGTTCATGTTTGTTTGTTCACGCCCATCAGCTCCGAGTCTCGATGAGCCGCTCACTCCAACGTCCATCTACCTCGCGTCCCTCCTGCAGCGCCTGCTGGTGGAGGAAATTCCGCCGGAAGCCGCCCGGCTCGCGGAGGCCTCAGCACCGGGGCCGAGCGTTAGCCGAGCATGGTTCCACCAAGGACTACCAGCGATTCACGGGGAGCGGTTGGAAAGACTGAGGAAGATCAAGGTAAAATTGAAAGAGATTCTCTGCCGATCTAATGAATCTAGACTTGGGCTAGCATGGGTGCAGGGCTTTCTCTGTGGTGAAGTCTGGGCCCGGTGTCCCGAGACACCTGCTGATCTTCCGTGGGTAAGTTGACAAGTTAACAGTTTGTGGTGAGTTCGTTGAGTGCAGCCAGGAACTGATAAAACAGTAGTGCGCGAACACATGCGCACACACATACCCCCCCCAAGTCCCCAAGACCTACCTTTTTACACATTTCAGTTGTATTTACAGTGAGTTCTTGACATTTTGAAGTCATTTTCTTAGAGGGAGCGCGGGGTTGCCACATATACATATATATATATATATGTATGTACAAATACTGCGTACACACGCGTCGAAACCCAAAAGGTGCGCAAGCACATCCCCCCAAAAGAAATTGTAAACACATGTTTCTGAATTTAAGATTCAAGATTATGGCGAAAAGTTCTTGAATCCAAGCCCTGGCTGGCTTCTCCCCAGAATCTTGAATGTTGAGCCTATTTTTTGTGAAATATGCAACTTTTATTTGGGGAAAAGTTCTTGAACCCAAGCCCATTCAAGAACGTTTCTCCAGAATATTGAATCCTAAAAAGCCCGTCACATTGACAAACACTTGCCAAAGAAACTCCCGTTTCAAAGGCAGTTGTCTAAAGTCTTCTCTTGTGAGACCGTCAAGATGTTTTCAAGTAAAATAGATGTTTATTGTAAAGAACATTTGAAGAACTAGTGGGGATATATACTAGGTAATGGATACTACTAAACAGTATTGCAAAGGATAATGGTAGCGGCGGTAGCGGTGTGTGGTACATTTTAGTGTAGAAAGTCAGGAGGTTAAGGGCTTGAATAAGGATTATGTATGGAAAAAGTCATATTTGCTTCATGCTTAACTTGTCATTCTGCCCAAGGTAATAACTAGCATAGATGGTGATATTAGCGGCTTTGGACGGCAATCGCACGAGCCAGGAATTTAGGCAAAGTAAAGTTTGCTTAAATACAGTGATGATACTGAAAATGCATTTAGCCAACAATGTATCACAAACTATTGTAATAGGCGGGTTGAACAATATAAAATATAGGATAGACAGGGTTAAAAAAATATATACCTAAGGAAAATTATACTAATGTCCGAAGGTTTATTTATGGAAAATGTAGCCAAACAATGTAATTACTGTGGTGTGGATATGCAAAAAAAAATGGTAGTGTATCAATTGCAGTTTCCTGTCATAGATGTAATAGTAGTTTCAAATGAATAATTACAACATATAAGTGCTTACTGTGTAACATAGATTGAACATGTATTTAAGGAACTAGTTGATATATATACTAGGTAATGGATACCCCTATACAGTATTTCAAAGGATGTCAGAACAACAAAACATTAGATCTTTCCTGAAGAAATTACATACCGCCTGCAACAGTTGTAGAGCCAAACAATCAACACACTATTACATTAACTGGTCTTCCCCCACAACTGTACCCATCTTCACAATATGCCCGGCAAGCTCAAAAAGGTAGGTCTTGGGGGGATAGCATATATATATATACCATTCTATACATAAACTTTACATGTAGATTATATATACAACTACAAATATATATATATATATGTATATGTATACGCATTATGTAGTATGTATACATGTATCAAAGCAGTGAACGCACCAATCCCCAAAAAATCTATCTGGGACAACATGTAAAGTGCTAGCGAATTGAACGCGAGGGACCCACCATAGTGGTGACAGAATTGTATGTCTGCCCAGCTGTCAATAGGATAGGAACCGTTTCAATATCTGTCAGCCATTGAAGGCATAGGTACATGTTGAGATTTGTTTTTGTCATTGGGAAGGTCAACTGGAGACTATTTCTTTTCCTGCGCAAATAAATGAACGTTTCCCGCACAAATAACTTTTTCCTGGAGACTATTTTTCCTCTGGTAGCCGTCGGCAGTGCATCTCTGCAATCTCTGCGTCCCAAGCTTCGAGCGCTCATGTCGGAGTTCTCAATGGCAGGGCCACTCCAGCTGTTGTTTCGCGGGAGGGGGCTCAACTGGTTCTGTACCTGGGTAGCTGCGATAGGAACCGGCGCAAGTTGAGCTGGTGGAACGTCATTGGGCACGATTCCAAGTAGCTGGGTGTTTTGATACTAGCTGCTACCTTTGAAGGTGGGATCTCCGGCGTGATGAATGCCAAAAGCATCTGCCCAAGTCACCCGAAATTTGAGCGAGCTTCGCAACTGTGAACATCACTTGACATCTGGAAGTCATGACATGTCTCAGGATCTATCACCAAAGAAGGAACAAACTCCCCTCATGAGGCGAAGTGGGCAACATACCAAATGCAAAGGTTAGTAAAGGCATGTAAAGGATTGTAAAGGTGTCCTTGAGGAATTGCTCACCCAGCCATATGAAATCTTATGAGCCCCAGGCAGCCCGCAGCTGAATGTTTTTGAGATTGGGGCTCCTGATGGGTTCCATGGGCTCCTAATGGCGTGGGTGCTCTTGCCGCACAACTCGCTGTGATGCTGACACACTCTCCATTGAATGTGAGTCGTTCGTCAGTCCGGAGACCCACCAGCAAAGTTCCTCTTGACTCTTTCTCCAGACGTCTCCAAACATGTTCGTGGGCGTGAAACGACACTCCGACGGGCCAAAAGGGTTTCGTAAAGCTAGGCAGCCACAAGCTGCATTTTTGGGCATCACCCTTCTACAGGCCCAGTTCAACAAACCTCCTGGTCATGCTAAGTCCCAGGCAACCATGGGCCCTTCCCGTTCTAATATTCAAACTACTGCCAACTTTGGGGATCTCTGCCCTCGAGATCGACCTCGGACATTCCACACTCACATTGCGTCAAACATGAGTCAACATCGTGTACTAGTAGCAACGTAACCACCTTCTCGAGCGTGATGAAGTGTATCAAACACATTCAACACCCATGTTTGAACATGAACTGCTGACAAAGAACTAACTGCTTCTCCAGGTCAGCCACATCCGAACGCTCTCGAGTCGAACCGCGCCGCTCCTGTGCTGCCGTCTGCATGGCAGCGCCCATATCGCTCATGAGCTTGAAAGTGGAATGACTGACGTTGGATGGCGAGCTTGTTCTGCTTAACTTGGAGCTTCCCCTAGACAGGTTGCTCTGGACCGAGTGCGGGGCTTCTTCTGAACAGCCGCTTGGCTTTGCGACCCTTGCACTTGAATTTGCACGCTGAAACATGTTTGAGGTTGCCCTCGCACCTTCGCGCGGAAAACCGCTAAAACCGATCGGTGGAGCCGTTCCTTTGATTTCTGAAGGCAGCTCCACTTCAACTTGAATGTGTGATATAGAGGCTTCGATTTTCAACAGTGCGCTGCAAGCATAGGAGCATCCTGAAGCCCAAAAGCCAAACATGCGGAGGCATCATTCAACAGCCAACCACTATTCAGCTTACGATCAGTCAGCTGTGGGCCTTGTTGGAGATCACCCATTCTTCCCGCGCCATAGATTGATAGTTTGATAAAATTATAGCCCCGCTCGACAAACCTCCACTCTCTTCCCTACGCCCTAAGCCCGGGCTTCTGCTTATGGGTCAGCAACTCACCGTAATGGGTAGTGGGGAAACTTGCAGTCTAAATGCAAAGCAAAAAGGCCCAACGTTTACCTGAACACCTGAATAATTACATGTCAATAAACATGCGGGCCCTTGGGGAACAGCGCAAAGCTAGGCATGTCAATGGCGCAACAACACATTGTTTGGGAACCAAGAATGCACGACCAGGGTAGGTCACCTGACACCCACCCTTGAAACTGCATGGCGCCGTGCCTGTGTGGGTGCCCAACCTGCGTCAAGCGTTGGCCGCATCACCCTTTGACAAATGAAACATGGATGTATCATGGTCTTGGAGGAAAAACGTGGTGGCTTTTCATTGGTCTCCCTTTCAGCATCTTTTCTGTTGCTCCACTGGCTTGTTGTGGATGTAATCGAATATCTTAGAACTTGGCATATGCTGCTTTAGGTGTGATGGTGATACTAGTGTGTTCATGTCTCAGAACCACTTGACTTCTTCTGGCAGAGGCAAGTCCAAAGCACCTGACATGACCGTCGGGATTGGTCAAATCGCTACTGGAAATTGTCGGTCTAAAGGACCTATTAAATTGATCCATTTGCGTATATATATATATATCAAGGGAAATGTGTGGCAAAGACCTTGAGAGGAGGAGTTTATTCAGGTCTATGAGCCTTTGTCGCATAACTTGCGTCGGCTGAAAACATGTGGATGGCCAAAAGGAAAAGATTCTGTCTTGGCCAAAAGCGGCGCATTTCCATGAATGAGTGGTGCCTTAATCAAAATGGTCTCCTAAACGTTGAGCTGCCCTCAAGCACAAGCACATCCCTCCCACTAGCGATGGCCTCTAACCTAAGAGCGATGGCTTCCAACCCACTAGCGATGGCCGCTGGCCTCCAACATACTAGTCTGAAACCCAAAGAGACTCGTCGAAACGGCCACCGGGCCCATCGGATCATCGTGTCACACCGGCCCCCCACGAGGCCGGCCCGAAGCCTTCCCATCGAGGCCGGCCTGGAAATGAAGAAAACGCGGGACCATCGAGTAATGATACTGACGAATATGTCCAGTAGTATACTGTGGTAATGATACAGTAATGGTACAGTATCCACTACTGGCATTTACTGGCTATATACAGTAATGATACTGACGTACCGACCTCGATCCGCTGAAACCACCCAATCTTTGGATCTTCTGCCACTCTGCGACGAGGCTGGTGGGCCGCGAAGTGAGAACACTGAGAACACTGGAACTCATTTTCAAACCTTGATCAATGGGCTGTCATATTTGTAACAGAAAGCCTTTAGCTGGCCGAACATGCAGGCTCCATCCGCTCCAGGATGAAGCTCTCTCCTCGCGGGTCACATAACCTCCACATCCTCCCACCAATTCTGCTCGTGGCTGGCCTCCAGTCACTACCCCACACCACAACAGGCCGAGGACCTCCCGAGAGTCCGGGAGAGAGTCCGCAAGTCCGGTGTGGAACCAGGTTCCCACATATCCAAGCACGTTGTGGGTGCCCCCCCGTCATCCCCAAATCCTGCAATCAAGAGGCCAGCACTGCAGTGGCGATACGCTTCTCCTGATCTTTAAAAAGATCCTGTAGAGATGAAATCAAGTGGGCTTCTTGCCTCAGCCACTCAAAGAAACGCAAAAGGACACACACACACACACGGCATCTTTTTCAACTCACACATGCCCTAGTGAATCCAACAAGTCGCGTCACAAAAAATTGGGGTATGTCCTTGCCCTTGTGCTTAGCTCGATGTTACACAAATGTCCATAAAATGTCAAGGGAATTCAAGGGACATATGGAATATGGGTAAATAAAAGCTGGATGTTCAAAATCCCTTTGCAAGGAAGCACTTTGTGACACCAAGTAACTCACCAAGTAATCCCAGTGCGGTGTACATCCAGCGTAAGCAAAATGCAACTTTGCAACTTGACATCACTTCCCCAGAGTGGACAACATACACTACTGCCAAATGCATTGACCATCTGAGCTATCATCTGATTAAACATGATTAAACCATGGAGCGATCAAATCATATCCCTACAACCTGCATGGGGTCTGGGAACGTGTGCCGGTTCTCCACCACGAGGAGCAGGGCTGAGTGGGACTTGTGGTGCCACTTCAAACACCCTAAAGGCTATGAGTAGTGTTCCACCCTCACCACTCCAGGCAGTTAAGGTGCTGCTGTTTTATACCCTTCTTCCAATTGTCTGGCAGCCCCCAGCAGTTCTCAATGACTTCAAAAGCGAATGGAAAGGATTCATGACTTCGCAGTCGGGGGGGTTGGAGAGTATCTCAAAAACTTGCTTGCAGTCTTCGGATTCTAGTGGAAACAAAGTACCAAAGTCTCCACACCTAAACTCCAATAGTAAGCAGCAAGGAATCATCAACTTCTGTGGGTTAGAAAATGTTGGAACTCTTCCATTGAAGGATTTGATTAAAATACCATCCCTTCTTCCGGTTTCAGGCCCTCTCAAATCTTGAGACAAGTGGCTCCAGAAATAAGTGCTGCAGCGCGTGTAATGCCTCAGCGACCAAGTGGCATTGACTTTTGCTCCAAGTTCCTGTTCTCATTCTGAAAGAAGGGCTGGCGTTAAAAAAACATGGGAACCCCCGACCATGACAATAACAACTTGTCGAGTGCCACCAAGAAACGCCTTTCAGAAAACCGTAATCCAGATGGACACGTGCAACCGTGCAACCCTTGCTTCCCATCAGGCATCTGACAAGTTACAAGCAAAAAGGCGTGTTTTTTCTTCCTGGCCCGGCCTAGACTCTACAAGTTCTTTCTTCCTCCAACATGCCCCCGGCCCGGTCCAATTCAAAGCCACCCCCTGGACATAACATCTCCTTGCTGAGCGGCTGTTGGGCCGAGATCCGAGGATTCCAACTCCATGTCGCTCCGGCCGTTGGGCCAGCCCGTTGGACCGGGCGGAGCGATGCTGACTCCGTGGTTTTGTGTCGTACACCGATGCTGACTGATGGGTGGCCTCTCTTGAAGTCCTCTCTCCCAGTTATGCTTTCTTTTCGCGGCTGAGCCTGAATGGAGCACCGATGGGAGAAGCCACGTTTGCAAGCCGTGCTTCTTCTTTTTGGGAGGCATCCCACCGTTCAATTAGTATGAAGTGCTGTTGATGTCAGTGCTACTGAGTGGCCCTTTGAATAAAGTCTAGACTGTTTGCATTGATCTTGGATGAGAGCTTAGCAATCATGACTCAAATGTCTTCAATTGGATCCCACTTCAAAATCCGATTGGGCTGTTAACTGGAGTCGGGGATCATCAGAAAAGGGAGCCTCAAGAACCTGGGTGATGAAACTGCACCCAACCAGGACGCATGACATGCAAAAAAACGATAGGCAACGGACCTTTGTTTCAAGTTTCCCGCATTTTCAAGCAAACCGCTTTCCCAACCAAACAAAACTTGAATAGCAACTCGTTCTATTTGCTCTGACGGTGGCACTGGTCAGTCCCAGTCAGGCCCCAACACTTTGGCTGAGGGTGCGGGGTCAATGGCAACCTCCACACTTGGACAGCATTTCGCGTTGAACAGGCCATGCAATTGCAGCAACCCTAAGTAGGCCCTAAGCTTACAAAGCCGCAAGCACGGCGGTTCCAGTTGATGCCGAATCCACAGCACTCAGTCGATGGTTTCCACTGTAGGGAAGTGCCAAACTTGTATCCCAAAGGCACCGGCGAGAACGAAGCAGGAATCCGCCGGACAAAAGCAGCAAGCCTGGGTGGTCAATAAACTGAAAGCATATATGGTACACCTCCCGAACCAAACATTCTCTTCTACAGTGGCCAAACTGTGGCAAGTAGATGCAGGAGGCAAGGTTTGTTGAAAGAAGTGCAATCAAATTTGCAGTGCCGGATGTCCTGCACAAAGAGCATCCTGGGAAGTTGTTCTTGCGAAAGCATCAGCTGATAAACACAACCGAGACTTGCCACTCTGTGGCTAGAAACATTCGCGAACTATGAACTAACATGAACTATATAACCATCTTGCTCCCAATTGTCCATCATACACTCTGGCTACAGCGGCTACAGGTGCCTGTCAACCTGCCCAAACTGTTCAGGTCAACTTTAAAGGGACCCGTGGCTCTCGCATCAACCTGCGGCCCCAATATGGGGAGCACGCGGCGTCTTGTCATCAGTCTTTTTGACCCCTCCTCTCACCAAGCTAATGGTTGTGGAACCGAGTTGGGTGGTCGTGGCTACATAACTGGGTCGCCACCGTAACTGCTTGCATTTGCTCCACTTTGTTATCTTTGTTTCCTTATCTTCCTTGACATCTCATCCCACGGAGAACCGCCATAGCATGCCATAGCCCCCCCTCCGCGACCTGCACGGGGTGAGTGTCAACTTGGCTCTTCTCGACCGCTTCCTCCGTGGCGGTCGAGTTGGACACCATGGTGCCCTGTAGTCGGGGGCGTTGCGTCGCTGTGCGGGGACTAAGAAAAGAATAAAGAGCCGGATAGCCCCACATGACCAGTTTTCACAAAACTGAAATCAAGAGGATAATGTTTGCGGGCAAAGCGCGGGAAGAGGATGATGTGTGATGTGTGTGTGTGTCAGTTGGTCTCAATGAGTTGATCTGAGTGAGTTGGTGTGTGCAAGTTGGTGTGAATGAGTTGGCATGTGTGAGTTAGTGTGAGCAAGTTGAAGTTGGTTGGTGTGGGGAAGTTGGTGTGAGTGGGTCCCGCTCAACAGCGCCCGCCGCGTTTACGCACGCATGCTTCCCGTTCCCTGACGGCACGGAGCCACGCAAACGCGCTTTCCACTGAGGACCCGGTAAACAGCATGGCACAGCGACGTCACAGACGCAGCTTGGCAACACTGTGTGCTGTCCACAGACTAGACGCAAGCAACAGCAAATCCCCTACAGAGCAGCAAAACGCAGGGGAGGAGCGTCCGCAGTGTGTGAGTTGGTGTGATTGTGTGTCAAACCCTGTTCCTAAGGGGTTCACATTGGTCCCCACACTTTAACACCTTTCCTCCTTCACTGCTTGATTCACATCGAACTATTGAAATGTCCAGTCTTGCAAAGCACCCATGAACACTGGGATGGCAGGGGCCAACGAAGATCCAAGACGTCATACAAACATACCTGCTGAATTTTGGTGGCGTTATCAAGCGGTTACTCCAATCTTCCTGTAAAGTGCTAAAGAGTGTTTTCACCGTAAAGTGCTAATGAATGCGTTCAAACTTTTCTGTTCTTCGGACTGCTCGCCTTACCGTTCTGCAAGTCAAGGTCTAATCTTCAGTAACGTAGAGGGCTATCTTCACTGGATCTTCAACACTGACTACCTCTTGCGAGCCTTATGTCTAAGTGTGATCTGCAGCGCCGTCCCATCGAGGTGCACTGTCTGAATTGTTTTCAGGCACTGTTCTCGCAGACCATCAAGGGTGACTACCACTGGTCAATTGTTCTGCTTGAATACCTCTGATCAATCATTTTTCCTCGAGATTGCTGACTAGATCCGCAGGGCTTCCTGACATTGTTTAAAGAATGTCATGACATGCCCACGGTTCCCAATGTTTAAGTCGCATGCGCTGTTTTTCTTTCGTCGGTTTCTCTTCTCTATGTGTAATTGCGAGTCAACGGAGCGCCGATACGGCTATTTGGGCTATGTCTTCTGGCAAATGTGCCCTGCCTTTTGACAAAACAACACCCCTCCCACCTTTCTCTCCTTTGTTTGCTCTTCGTTTGTTAGGCCAGCTTCTTGAGGCTTATTAGGTATCCGCCAGGCTCTTTAGTCGAATTTCCCTTCTTCCTCCCCCCCGCCAATCACACCTTTCTCTCTTGGTTTTCGTTTCGTTTGTTAGGGCTGCCTTTGAGCTTTTTAGGCGATTTTTCAAACTCTTTAGTCAAGGGAGCGCCGTTATGGCTTCATGTGTGTGTGTGTGTGTCAAACCCTGTTCCTGAGGGATCCACACACTTTAACACCTTTCCTTTACTGCTCAATTCACATCTAAATATTGAAATGTACTGCAGGGAGGCCCAAGGACACTTGGACGGCATGGGCCAACGAAGGCCCATTCAAGATGTCATGCAAACGTGCCTGCTGAATTTTGTGGCGTTACCAAGCTGGTACTCCAATCTTCCTGCAAAGTGCTAATGAGTGTTTTCGGACTTTTCTGTTCTTCCAACTGCTCGTCCGTTCTGCAAGTCAGGGTCTAATCTTCATTTCAATAACTTAAATTTAAAGGGCTCTACGCTCTGGGGAGCCTTATATCTAAGTGTGTGCATTTGGTGTGAGTGAGTTGGTGCGCGTGAGTGAGTTGGTGCGCGTGAGTTCGCGTGTGCGTGTGTACCCCTTGGCGTCACAGGGATCCTCAGGGACTGTTTCTTTCTTTCTTTCTTTTTGACCTTCATTTACCAACAGCAGGGGGTGCAAGCAGCCTATCCAGTCTTGCACCAGTTTCCTACTAACGAAGACACTGGATATGGTGATATTGATCCGCGACGCCGGATCAACGTACCTGCTTTGCGAGAAACCTACGTAATGGACAGCTGTTCCACTTCTGTGTTTTGCAGTAATCGTCCAGTGCTGTAAAGGGCTAGTGCATCGACGACTCACTTCGGATCCTTCGTGAGCTTGAGACTTGAACTGTTTTTGGAGGCATTGGATGTCTTCGGTTTTCAACTTACCTGGCCTCCTAGGCACTTGGTTACCTAGGTCGTCGTGTGGCGAGTGGCATTCGAGTCAGTACGCATGGCAATAAGTGTGTGTCTGTGTCAATCCCAGTCTCCAGGTGCACGTTTTTTCACTGTTTAATGACAGCAGGGGGCTGGAGTGTGCTTCAAATGTCTCCAGCCAACGACGACGCATCTGTTGCACTGTGATATAACTCCGGGACGCTGGAGTTACCTACCTGCACTGAAGCCAGCCTTATTGTGATGCAAACCATATTGTTGCTGACTTTTCACCTTTCCGTTTGCTCAGCCCTGTTGCAGGTTGAAGAGGTTGTTCTTGCACTAACTAGATCGTAAAGGGCTAATGCATCTTTGGGACCACCTTGAAGTATGCCCTTGAAAGTTCTTTCTCAAGTGTCTGTGCCGGAGGCGGAGGAGAGCACGGAGGAGGAGCGGGATGACCCAAGATAAAGTAAGAACACCACACTAGTATGTGGGGAAAGAACTATATACTTGAAATGCGGCTACAGTGACCCTTACGCCGTGTGGTCTTGTAAATGTATCTATAAAAAGAAAAAATATCCCTGTGTGTATTACCCAGGTGGGGTTATGTCCCCCATTTTCTAGCACCTAAATTGCGGGACATGGATCTGACACTGGAAAATGGGCGTGCACCCCACTAGAAAATAGAAGGACATAGATTCCAAAGGCTAACAGTAAAAAAACAAAGACTCACTAGAAAGTGGAAAAATGACATATCAAAGATGTTTATGTTTGTGGCCTTCAAGGTCATGATCCCTATTTTGGCTTCATCAACATTGCAATTTATAGTAAATGGGTGGTTTTGTTCCAAATCACCAAATATAGGTTACTAGAAAAAACACCATTTTCTAGTGGCCATAAGGCCCAGCATTATCCAGTGAAAATGCGCACAGGGATGAAAAAATAAAGACATACAATCGATCTATATATTTATCTGATGATCATGATATTGGGGAGGCTGCAAGTGATTCAGCCTCAAGGTGCATGGCAACTAGCCTACTGAGTTGCTGGTCCAAAAGCGGAAACCTGCCTTCTGTCCCAATTGCCAGCTGCAAGTCATCTTGCCAGTGCCAGCCTCCGTCATTGCTCCGCCGATCCCCTCTTAGATCTGCAAAAACAACCGCATCTTGCATCTACATTCAGATTCACTAATTAATGTAGGATCTTGATTATCTTGATCAATAAACCCATAATTATGAAGCGGTTTTTCATGCTTCTCATGGTTTTTGAATCTGGATGGGGGGTTGCTAATCAAGATCCTACATTACAGGCTTGCAAGCAAAAGAATCACCTCTCCAACTGCAGATCAGGAGCGTTGAACAGTCGAGCAGTCCCGTCCCGGCAGCCGGTGAGTAGCCACTGACAACATGGGGAGACATCCGCACCTCAGCATGCGGATTGGCGGCCCTCAGCAATGGCACGACCAACCCTAAAGTCAACAGTGGCGAGGTACACTGCTTATTTCTTGGAGATATCGGATACAGTACAGCGGCTTTACCTGCACATACTTCCGCACAAAGGAGCAAAAACACGGGTAGAATCATGTCATAGGCCAAGGATAGTGCATTTTTCTGGTGACCCCTCAAAAAGGATACTTTATGACCTTTCATACATGTTCCATCATTTCCTTCATGAAAAGAACAGTTTATTTTTATCATCTTTTATCCCTACCAAGGATTCGTTGGCCTCTTCGAGGAGGCAGGCCAGGCAGGCGCTGACACCTCTTGACATGTTGCTTGGCACTAGCAGCTAGCAAGTACTTGGCTGCCCTGCTACTTATGAGCCAGCCTGAATGGTTGTTTGGCAGCTAACGGTTCTGTTGCAATTCAGTGAGCCCCGTAACGCTCGACTCCAACATACCAGGAGGAGAGGTGGTGTCCCCAATGTTCTGCAAAGTGAACTGTGGTGCGCCAAGATGCACAGGACTGGAGAGCCAAACTCCCCAAGTCGTTTGAAGAGACTCCCAGACATCTGCCACACGATGGCAACGCCATCCTCACCCGCTGTCAGAACCCTTGACTCGTCCGGAAAGACCTGAGAGTGGCGGATGATCAAAGCCTACAAGGTATGTGAGCAACTGGGAAAAAAGTGACCGAGACAAAACATCTTTCAAAACAGCTAAGCAGGTCGGAGGTCGTGAATATTGATTGACAAACATAATGATGGAAGCAACCATTTGTACAAAGCCTCCTCTTCTAAAACATCGAGAACATGCCACACACCGGTTCATGATCGTTCTGACCAAATTTCACCTTTCTTCAGGGATGCCAACACCTGGGCTCGCTGCTGCCCAGTGAAGGAATGAGAAACTGTTGCCATGTCCCAAATGTATCCGGTGACACTGTGATCCAGAGGCGCTGTACGCTCCCTGCACTATCCATGATCTATAAGAGGTTGAAGCTCTATTCCCACAAGTCACCAAGCGCAACGAGCCATTTCCCATCACTTCCCCAGGCAGCGCACGACGATGTTGCCATGTTCCCGTCTCCCTCCGTACAAGCCGAGTTCGCCGCCTTCGGGCCCCAGGCACCACAATGGCATTGATGGCGCCGATGTGGCCCTGCCAAACACTCAACTGCTGCCCCTGCTCGCTGAAGCGCTCCACGAGACCGGCCAGGCTTGCAGTGAACACGTGGCCCTGGAAGCCTCGCGGACGGGAGCAGCTGAGGCCTATCTTGGGGGCTTAATGTGCAGAAGCATGGACATCAGCCAGTGTGAGGGAACATAATTAGCTAAGTGATGCTAAGTGGTTTCTTATTTTCGGTTGTCCTAGGTGCCCCACTGAAGAAACTTGCACCCAAACATTCCCAAACCTGCTTTTGGGGATGATATGTTCGGGACATGGCAGGCATAACATGGCATAACGAAGTCTTCAGCCGAAACCTAGCAAGCCACCAACTCCGTGCTGGACACCTGGCCCGTCGCTTTTTTGGCACAGGCAGCTGCATTGAGCAAGCCTTACCACTGCATAGTCAGTTCTCTTGAAGGCGGATGGTTCCCAGGCCCTGCTGCAACTCTGCCTCTAGTGGCAACCAAAGTTGGCATAATTCTTTCCAGGCCATAAGCAACACAGCATCCAACGTCTGTGCGGCAGCAGTTGGTCTTGTAGGCGCCCATGATTCCCAAGAGTGCTGAGATTCTCGGAAGGACTTCTTCTTCCCACTCCATCAGGCCTGCCCTCACCCAATAGAAAGATCCCGCGACAATCGTCCAGGCACTCTTTGGTGGCAAGTCCCTGCTGCTCATGAATGACCAGGCGATTCTCATATTCCTCACGGCATTGGGCTCGAAACCAAATGGTGCACGCCCGAACGCGACATGGCCCGTGGGCCCTTGCTTTGTCCAGGTGAAGTTCAACGGACCTACCATGCCAAGCGTAGGGTCTCCCACAAACTGGTCAACGATCGACTGCACAATTTGAACACTTCCGCACAGATCTGACACCATCAACTTCCTCCAAGGGCCATGCCCTTTGCTATGCAACTTCAAAATGAGGTCGGTGCCCAACGACAGCTCACGTGCAAGAAGGAGTTGCTGCAAAAACACCCCGATGTCTGCGCCTCGGTTCTCGGCACGTGAAAGCACGCTGAACCGCAAGGCCGAAGGGGCTGAGGCATGAAGAGCTGGAAGGAAATCAGCGAGGTCCTCCAGAGGATGGGTTGTTGTCAGGATCACATCCACCGTGTGGTTCTTCGCAGCTTTCAGCACGGTTTCTATGCAGGGCTTCAGATGCTGCCACAATTCCAGATAATGCAGCTGGACGAAAATACCGATCCTGGGAGCAGCCGCAACGCTCAGAAAATCTGCCGGGGATTTGAGGAAGTTCAGCAAATGTGAGACCCGGGCAGTCACAGCTTCACCGCTGAAGGCTGACTGTACTGCCAGCCGGCCTCTTTTGGCCACTAAAAAGAGCTCACTGATGTTCAAGCTCATAACTCTCCCCAGTTCGTCAGGCCACGACTGCAAACTATGCAACATGAAGCAATCAATTGATGTCCTCTGTGGTGTCTCCGACCAGGCCGACCAGGAAAGTAAAAGAGGAAAAAAAATGCATACATGATGCATAGGATAGAAATTACATTACATATAGTGTATTTGCATGTTAAAGTACACAGCTTGATCAGTTCAACACATGTTCTTGCTTATGTTATCTTATGTGCAGGTCTCCGTTGCTGTTCACCTGTTTCAGAACTCACCAACAATCGAGGTAAAGTCTTGCTTTGGCTGCCCAGCCGCGTGCAAGCCAGTTCTGACTGGGGCATCAGCACTGGAACGCCGAGAGATCTGGCATATAGCGTGTCAAGAGCAAAATCTGGCCGTTCAAAGCTCACCTACGAGATGTGAAGATCACTCTACACTGCACCTATCAAAACCTATCCATTCACATCCTGCACAGCATGTCATGCACTTGTTCATGAAATCTTTGAAGAACCTAGCAGTGGAGGGCGTCGTGAAGGATGGACACAATGAGTTGCTCCACACAAGGGGCATGGCATTCTTGGTGGGACAGGTCGAGCACGGTTGTGCGAGCCCCTTGGTTTATTCTGAACACACTGTAGGGCCTATCCTTTCCTGCTAGGTCCCTGACACTAACGCCGCTGACACTCCAGCACAGTTTCTTGGAACACACTTTAAACAGAACAAAATCACCCTACTATATACTGTACCCTTACGAACAATCACAACCAAAGAACATGTAATTGATAAAGAATGCTAGAGCCACTAGGGGTTGCAGCACCAAAAACACCAAAACGAAACCACCGTCAAGAAGCAAAGCCTCTCAACTTGTCCAAGCTAAAGCTAACATTATTTGTCCATCCTAATGTGCTAATGATCAAGTATATAGACACAATGTGGCACAAAAAACAACATGCTCAAGAATGATAATGATGTCCATTGATGGGCGCATGCTCATCGTGTTTGCTTGCCCCATCTGCAAACAACTCCACCACTTGAGCATCCTGGCAATGCTGCTTAAGGCTCCCACGTGTAAGTCAGCCGCTGACAAGTATTGCACCAGTTCGTTCCGGGCCAGCCAGAGGATATTGGGCAGGTTGGGTTCCGCACTGGTCTCTATGCTGGCATTGTCCACAAAGAGCAGAATCCAGGTCGAACTTCTGGAACGCTTGGAGAAGTTTCGAAGAATATTCCCCAGAGTCGCCACGTCTGGTTGATGCCCCCCGGGGGCAGTCCGGCAGTCCCGCCCCAATGGTGACCACAAAGTCATCGGACCGGATGCTGTGACGATCCCGAAGTTCCTCACTGCGAAACTTGCCCGAGACCTGAGCAGGAATCTTCAGCAGCCACAAACAACAGCAGCAAACATCCAAGAACAAAATACATCAAAGGACGAGGACGAGAACTGTAGTGTAGAATGTAAAATTTATGGGTGTAAGGCCCCGGCATTTCGTACGAATGGCCGAAATAATGTGAAGTGCCCATGGTCATGCTGCATCCATTTGCTTTGCTCCGCGTGGCTCACAAACATCACTCTGTCAGCATTGGCCAGGGCCTGGTCGATCAGCGCGCCGCTCTCCTCGCAGGATGAAACGGCCGGTCTGCCAGTGGTTCTGCCAGCGGTTGTCCAATTTGTCAAAAAGCTTACTAGAGTTCAAGGGGCAGCTTTCAAGTGCTTTCTACTGGCACACAGTGTTAAAGGTAACCCTTTTACAACACCCTTGGTCCTGAGATTGGTTGCAGGAAAGCGGGCTGTAGAAATACCACACCAAACGAACATCAGGATACCCATGTGGCAGCTGGAAAAAGAAAGGAGCCCAAAGACTAGAGAAGCAAACAATATACTGAGGCATCTCACCATCAATTGCACTGATGGCATTCCATGCAGTGTCATTCTGCCCCGACAAAACCAGCCGCAGCCGAGGATTTGCTCTGATGGTAAATGTATCTTGGCGATACTCTGCTGGCAGTGCCTGGTATGAGACCCCTTCCACTACGACTTTGCAACCCAAGGACGCCAACTCCATTGCGAGCTCCAGCGTGAACAAGGTGTCGGCTCTTGTTGACAAATCGCCGGTCCAAAAAAAGGAAAAAGGGTCTAGAGCGCTTCACTTCCACGGTTTCGGGTTTGGCATCATGTTGCTCCGTGGCAGGCGCGACATCGCCTCGGTGTGGAGTCTCAGAACTTGTGTTCCCGCTCGTGGAACTCCAAGCTTCGAGCGTTGACAGTTCTTTCTGGCTTGTTGTGAGAGTAACATCATCCTCTCGAGGCGAAATCACATCACCCGCCATGGAAGTTATTGAACTTGGAGCTTCAGGCGTGGTCAACTCCTTTTGACTTGTTGTATGAGCAATAGCATCTGCTGCAGAAGTTGAAGAACTTTGCACTTCAGGTGTGGGCTGATTTGTTGGAAAAGCAACATCATCTGCCGCGGAAGTCGAAGAACTCCATGCCCCAACTGTGGGCAATTCTGTCTGACTGCTTGTAAGTCCAACATCATCTTGAGAAATTGCAAAGCTCAATAATTCTGGTGTGTTCTTGTCCTTTGGACTTGTTGCATGATTTATATCACCTCTCGGGATCTTGGAACTCCACGCATCCAGTGTTGACTGAGTCTTTGGGAAAGCCCACAGGACAACGACACCCAAAGGGATAAGCAAAAAAGACCACAGCGGAACAGGAGCACATCGCAGAGTGAGTGCCATGAGAAAACAAGAAGCTTCCGTCAAAAAGCAAGCGCACAAGCAGCCAGCACAACACCAGTAGATGAATAGATTCTGAAGCATGCTAGTTGAAGTGCTGGCCGCCTGGAATACAGAATGCGTAATGAAGACAATTCCCCTGATGCAAAACAATGCACCTGCTCAACCTTGATACAGCAATGAACACGTACCTCAAGGAATCCATTATATGTAAATGTAATTACATCATCTAGACATGTTCACACAAGGGTCAACATGCCAAACCTGACACCCCACAACAACAAATACAGTATATATATATAGTTCTATATAACATTTACAATGCATGAACCACCTCCGATCATTGATATAGATTGACAGCTTATAGGTCCATGGCGCACTGTATTCAGATGGTGCTCTTTGGTGCGGTTCCTTTGTGTAATCTTCTCATTGCAAGTGTGGCATCATGTGTCTCACTGTGGCAAGACATGGCAAGACCTTGGGCCAAAGGCTGGCAACTAGATTGAAAAACGATTATTTGTTCTACAGTGTTGCTTCATCCTCCGTTGGCTTTCTGCTTGAGGGTTCTCATGTGCGAAAACGGTAGGGCAGTGTGTTGGCCTATAAGCCGGGATTCACTAGAAGGGAACATCTATATACAAACTCATATGAACCCGCTTCTTGTCGGATATTGTGCCGGCAGCTGGCCATCCCAGAACTCTCCTTCGCCCATGGAGGTAGGTCTAGAGTCTAAACCATCTGAAGCCTGGAAAAGCGCACTGAAAGGACAAAATGGCTCTATGAATGTTTTCAGCTACTCTCCTGGGAAGGTGCTTCAAAATGCATAGTGCACACCAAGCTTTTGGCCACTTTGCGTGATAATCACAATCCTACTCGCTGCTTTCGCACCGAAAGGTGTCGAAAAAGTCGAGTCCTTCGGACAAAATTATCTTATAATATACAATGTGCTTCATCAAAATTCAAGTGTGGGACTATCAAGGGGACACTGATCAGTTAGTTGGGTATGGTTTGCACCTTCAGTGAATGCAGTACACTATGAACATGGGTCTAGCACCGTGCCTAATTATTTACTGTGTGCAGTCCATCGTGTATCACCACTGGTTCTGACGGAGAACCACTGGTTCTATCCGTCCACAAGTGGTACCTGATAAGCACATAAGGACGCCCACCCGATTTAAACATGGCTTATATAATTGTACGTTCATATACCTTCCACTGGTTGCAAGGTGAATGGAGTGAATGCAGCTCCAGTCTAAATTCCAAAAACAAATTCAGTCAAATTAGCGCGGTCTTCAAGGTCTTCGGCCAATCTCACTTCGCCAAACGTCTGGGTTCATACTTGAGCACACTGGTGGAGCAAATGGAGGTAGGTGTGTGACAGCTTCGTTGAGAGAAGATGAGAGAAGTATATATAATATATATATATATTATTTTTATAATCATCCACATGGCGTTTTGCACCCACGGATGGACTTCAAGCGGAAATTCGGGAGTACAAAACATAAAAGACAATCGAGATCAATCGAGGCATGAGAAAAGGAGGATGTCGCTAGAACAAGGCACGCTTAGGAGACGCGTCCGTTGCAAGGAGGTTTCTCTCGGGCAGTCTGCCCTGCCAGTGCGACTGAAGGCTGAAAAGCACTGTCGAGTAGTGGGTTAATCGACATTAGATCAGCTGCCCCACGCAACCAGCCCTTGCTGATGTCATGAGCGTTGATTGGTTGGATGCATGTGAGCGTCACAGAATATCGCTACAAATCTCCCACAAAGAGGACTCTCAACCCTCACAAAAAAACGACACACCTGGCAGCTGACTACTTTTTTGCACCACTCATCACTCCAGGTTTACCACCCCCAGCTTCGGCACTCTTCTCATCTACCCCTGATCAGTTCCAAGGAGCGTGAGATGGTCAAGGCACTCAGCCCTGTACCTGCTTGACCTTCGATGGCAAACAACTCTTCTGTTCGGGATCAAGGAGCTTTAAAGGGAAGCCTGCAGGCTCCCAAGTTTCTTCAAGAACAGCCTGAATGTACTGGAGGAAGATGGAAAGCACCCCTAATCCATTGTACAGGGGTCCGCCAAAAGGCTTTCTTGATGTGAAAGTTGCTACTTAATGGCTCATGACGCTTAGTAATTGGACATGCTGTTTAGTGCAACTTAGGAAGTAGCCGAAATTGACATATAACTTCTGCAACTGAAGTTGTAAATGACGTGTCCATGACAACGATGTAGTTAGCATTAGCATCACTTACTAGCTATGACGCATCAGTGGTTAAGGACAAGTCAACAAATTGCTGGGTCTGACGGGGATCTTTTCTGGCAAACCCGCAGTTTCCTTTTTGCGAAGAGTTCTGCCCGCCTGAGTCCCCCTTTCCATGTGATCACATGATCATCAATCCCTTCCGGGACATGGCCCTGAACCTAGTAATAAAAACACTCCACAGGAGGGTGGCCACAGGCCATGAGATGAGTGAGTGGTGCTCGTCTCACAAGAAGGCTTCGCCCGATGAGCGGGACAAAACACCCAGAATCGGTGGAACCAAAGCCCGTGTTCAACATGACGTCCCAAAGAACCATCCGACGAGTCAGCGGGAGAAGAACGTCCCAAAGCCCGTGTTCTCATCCTTTCTCCCAAAATGCCACTCATCACTTTGTCCTTAATGGGGCAACTAAGGATTGAAGTCTCCCCACTAGTCGATCCCCGCACCCCACAACTACAAGATACAAACGAAGTCCACCTCGAGTGCTCGCGCTCAACCGGGTAACAAATGAACTCTCCGTTCTCCAAATGCCATAGCTTGGTGACGCCATCCTGGGCAGCTGAGGGCTCCTCTCCAAGTCTCACAATGTTTCCTTCCTCCAAATGGTGGCCATCCATGAAGGTCTACTTCAGCCGTCTCACCCGCTTGGTATTGGTGTGCCAACGGTATCCAGGCATTCCGAGGTGATCATATTACACATTTGATGGCACCACTTCGTACAAGTCTTCTAGCAAGACTTGCTTCGATGTCTCCCAACAGATGCAGTTTCATCACAGTCAAAGAACTCTAGCCAACAAGAAAAGACAATGGTTGCATCCCAAGCCAATTTCTGACAAAAGACACGCTGGGCCCAACCCGTTTCAAAACACACAAGATGCACCGCTCAGCCTAGCCTGCCTTGGCTGGCACCTCCCCAGGGCATCAGTGAAGCACCAACGCTGGGATGAGCTCCGATGAAGTCTAGCAGTCTAACACTACATTAAGCTCGCAATCAACATCATAAAACGAATGGGCTATTCTCCCAGGCTCCGGACCTCTCACGCTACTAGTAACAAGAAGCTGGACTTTGGCCATCCCGTCGGATCCCGTGCCCTCGGCTCTTCAGGGTCGGACCGCTCTGCCGAGTCTCAAGGCCCAAGGTCAACAAAGGCCGTGCATCGGGGTAAACGACCCCGCCGATGACGGCAAAGCGGTGGTTCAAGGTGGCTAGGAGGCTCCTTGGGTGCCGTCTCCCAGGAACTGGAAGAAACTACAGCATACTCACCACAAACCAGCAGTATGCATTGCAAAGGTGTACAGTTGCACTGTTGCACCTGGTAGACGGTCTGAGCGGCATAGGTTGAGTGAAATTGCCGCCCATGATGAGCAACACAAACGAGACATTGCCACACTCGCCCTCCAAACAAAACATGAATACATCATCACTACTACCTTACCCCCGGGGGGGGGGTCAAAAATGTAATTTACAATTTCGGGTGTGTCAAAATGCAGGTTTTGGAAAACGGTGAAATTTGCACATACAGGTCTGACATACCTCCATCTCACAAGACAGGGGTCAAAATTGTAAGTTACATTTTTGACCCTCGTGTGTGTTCGTTCGGCCTGCACGCACTCAATAATTGTAAGTTACATTTTTGAGGGTGAGGGTCCATGCTTCTACCTCACCCTCAAAAATGTAACTTACAATTTCCCTTTCGGTTGATCACAAGTTTGCACTGTGCCGCATTTTCCCTTGGAAGTGTTGGCATGTAGCGGCTGCGCCCGAAGGTTCTGGCCAGTGGGAAAGGCAGTCTAATTGTAATATTTCCTGCTGGGTACACTAGGTCAATAATATAACAGAGTGAATCTTGCTCAAGTGAAACGCAAAAAGTCGCCTTTCAATTCATTCAGGACACAGTCCAAGGAGGATGTGACAGGGCGCAAACAAAAGAGGCACATTTCGTAAAAGAAGGTGTTTTCTTTCATCTTTTTCTGGGACAAGGGTCATTGGAGACTCTACTAAGGTAGTGCGTGCTGTGTGGGTTTTTTCCTGGGCTGTGCCTGCCTCAACATTTATTGGAGGACCTCACCAGTGCGGGAGGGGGGGAACTAATTGTAATATGGCTTTCTGGCTGTACTATGGTACACCCTGTGCAGTGTTTTCCTTTCATGCTCTGGCTTCAACATTTCTCTCACAAAATTGAAGAGTGGCAGAAGGGTGTTCTAATTGTTATGTGGACATGTTGGTGCACTAAACACACACTGCGCGGTGCTTTTCCTGGGCTGTCCTTGCCTCAACCTTGGTTGGAGGACCTCACCAATGCGGAGGGGGGGAACTAATTGTAATATGGCTTTCTGGCTGTACTATGGTACACCCTGTGCAGTGTTTTTGCCTTTCATGTTCTGGCTTCAGCATTTCTCTGACGAAATTGAAAAGTGGCAGAAGGGTGTTCTATATAATTGTTATGTGGACTTGTTGGTGCACTAAACACACACTGTGCGGTGCTTTTCCTGGGCTGTTCCTGCCTCAACATTTGTGGGAGGACCTTACCAGTGCGGAAGGGGGGGAACCAATTGACCAATTGTAATATAGCTTTTCTGGCTGCGCTATGGTACACCCTGCGCAGTGTTTTCCTTTCATGTTCCGGCTTCAACATTTCTCTTACGAGCTTCAATAGTCGGAGAAGAAGGTTGTAATTGTGATATGGACTTGTGGGCGCACTAAAATACATTCCGTGTAGTCTTTTTCCCAGGTTGCAGTGGCCTTAAACATATCTGGAAGAGAGAGGGGCTTCAGAGCTTTACCAGATACATGTAAGGTTGCCATTTGTTTGCACTATACAGTGTGTGTTGCGCATGTTTTTTGTAGAAAGCATTGCTCCAACAGTTTATATAAGAAGTACAGGTCGTTCAAGGATGTCTAGGGTAGAATTGTAATCTCCAGTGGCAGGGACACCATGTTTAGACAAGAGCATCGAGTCCTCCACTTTATCTCCCTTTCCCTTTCGGTTGTTCTAACTTTCGGTTGATCTCGGTTGAGCCATTTGTGCTGCACGAAAGCAAAGCGAGAATCTCCGGATTAAGTTCAATCTTGAGCTCAAGATGCCCAAGTTCATGTTCCAAAGGCATGTGGAAACTGTCGAAGCAGAGAGGTTCAAACCTATTACAAAACACACTCGTAAAACGTCGACAAGGAGGGGAGGAAATTGTAATTTGCTCTGTGTGGTACCCACCCATAGATTCTTACAATTCCCCCCCCCCTCCTTTCAAAGTCTCCATAAGTAGGCCAAGACCTCTTTGAGGGGGGGGGTCAAAAAAAGTAACATCCTCACATAGGCTACCTCAACCCTAGATCTTACAATTTTCACCCCCCCCACCTATAGGGCTATATAATGCTATTGTTGTGAAATCAAAAAATGTAAGTTACAATTTTGACCCCCCTGGGGGGGTCAAGCACTGCAAGGGGGTGGTGATAATACATCCTCTGCAATTTAGGAAACCACCACTCGATGGAATGTCGCGCACTTCACGGCGTTCGTGCTGGAGACCCGAGATCCAAACGATGTCCCAAATTACGCAAAGAAGACATGTGGGGGCGATGCATATGCTTCGATTGATAGCGATGTGATGCGATGTGGAATACCTATGGGAAGGTTGAAGGCTCAAAGTCGCTCCATGCACAAGCACTGACACTCCTATCACAACCATAGCATTGGCTCCCCAAATGCATGAAATTGGTTTGTAAGTGAGCTCACCTGCAAAGTCACTTAAGTGGGACTTTAAAGATCTTTAAAGACATGAATTTATGGCGAGTTTTCCGATTTTAACCTCGTCTGATGTTCGACTCAGTCGCGGCTTGCTCCCACATCTCCAAACTCGGGCAAAGCCATCGCAGCCGCCGGTGAGAAAGCACATGGCATTGGGAAAGGGTTCAATGCATAACACCCCACCCTCATGAGCTTTGACCTCATGGATCTTCGTGGCACTTTTCCTTACACACGACGGTCCAGTCGGTGTGGACAAAACATGCAACATAAATAGGAATGTATTGCAATATGCTATGTATGATCCTTGCAAAGTGCATTTGGTTGCCTATACATCTATACCGTATACACATTGTCTTTACCTAACTTCGGTTCTAACAAGCCCAAGGCTTGTCTCCCAAAGAGGACGGGACAAACAAGACCAAAAGTGGGGCTGAAGCAACTCCTGGCTTCGCGTCCCAAATGCAAGCTGTGCCGTCTTCCCCAGCCGTGGCCAACTCATTGCCCGGTGGCAAAACACATGTGGCATAGATGACAAAGGGCACTTGGACGCCGAAGCGCGCTCGGTGCCCATGACCTCCCAAGACAACAACATCTAATGTTCAAATCAATAGAGAACTACAAGTCAATTATTGCATAGCAATAATCAGCGGTGCTATTCCCAGGCAAACCATGCACGAATATGCACGTGATTTGATGTGATTTATTCTCCCAAGCCCAACAAAAAAGAACTTTCCTGGAGAAAAAAGTGATTTGACCCAATACTTGCGCAATTAGATCTGAAAATGAAAAAAAACAGTGCCGTCTCCAAAACACGAGACTTGTGTCAATTGATCTCAAGGAAACAATGCTCGTCCGTATATATTAAAAACTTGATTTTCCGACCTGTTTCAAACTTTAACCTTCGATGATATGGCTCAATTATGCAAAATCCGTTGGCACTTGCATCTCCCTTGACCAAAATCTGAAGTTGAAAGGTGAAGCCATCCCCTTCTCGCAAACTTGCATCAACAAAAGAACAAACCTGCATTGAGAAGAAGTGGTCCATCCAGGCAGCACAAGCAGAAAAGATGGGACATAGCTCGAGTATGGTAGCAGTCCGGCGACAGTACAGTACATTCACTTGTGCACACTTTGGCAGTGTGATGCAGTGTGCGTCATTGACTAACCTTCATGCGTGAAGCAAAAGTCTCCCAACAAGAATGTACTGCTACCAATGGATCAATGGCTAAATATACCAAGCTTAGAAACAATAAGCTAGTAGTAACAAGTGCCACGCTACTAGTAACAGGTGCCTTACTAGTAGGAGCAAGAAGCTATTAGAAACAAGTGCTTTACTACTAGGAGCAAGAAGCTACTAGGGGCTCCTGGCCTTACTAGTAGTAACAAGAAGCTATTGCTCCCACACCGAAGGAACGGGCCCCCGAAACTTGCGTCGCACGTCCCACCTCCCCAACTCTGCAATCGCTTCGGTTTCTCCTCCGACGCTTCAGAGACTCGTGCCGTGGTGCCCAACTCCCCTGTGGGCGAATCCAGCTGGATCACCACCGCGCTTCTGAGCGGCGTTCGTCGCAGTAGTGAGCGCAAGGGGAAGCCTGATCGAGCAACACAAAAGATAAAGACGGGTTCTTGGGATGGTGCCTGCTCGTAACAAGAAGGTGAGCGCTGCTGCTGAAAGATCAAAACAAGCAAAACACATCAAAAAAAAGAAGACGCCAATGCCCAGGCCCTTATTGCGAGTCGTGCACTTGCAACTCAAGCCACCACCAAAGTGTTAGGATGTGTTAGGGGTTCGGAAGGGGAGCAGGTCACCGCCGCACCCAGATCTGGCTCACCTGTACGATCACACGGCTGATGGTGGGTTGGTACTACTCTCTTTTTCTGTTCTTGCATGGTCATCGCTGTCATTCTCAGAGCCTACAGCCATGCAAGGGGCCGTGGTTTCCTTCCGATCCCAGCCACGGTGTAGCGTCGCCGGAGCCGCCCGCAGTGCAGTCCGTCCGGCAAACGCCGGGGTCCGCCGCGTGCGGGACACGCGCCGTGGTCCGGGGCGGAGTGCCATGGCGCTGGCGTGATTTTGGTGCGTAAACTGTAAGGAATCGGAAAGGGTCCAAAGAGGGTCCCCATCGGTCCACACGTTTTCATACTTTGTCGACTTTGTCATTGTTCCTCTTGAATTCCACATTTGTTGAATTCTGTAGGAGAACTCTGAGCTTTGAGGCTCGATGACCAAGCAGCTCCCAGGTCTTTGAGGGTAGGTTTGTCAGCAGGTCTGATGTGCGGCGACGCAACGTAGTGAAGTCCAAACCATCATTGGAAGCTCCTATGGAGGGTTTTGACCCCGCACTATCGTCACTAGCAGGTTGAACTAGCGCAACCTCCACCTTGAGCTTTTGAGCGGTCCATGATTCCTATGCTAGTGTATGTGAAGCATCACGTCATGTGCTCAGCCATGCAAGTGGTTCCCGAGCGTCTTGGAACAAACCTTGCGAAGCCTGTGTTTTTTTCAACTTGTTTTTTCACACAAATGTCTGCTCAAGTCGACCAGGCTTACTACGCTAGTGAGCCACGGTGATGATGTACACAAACTCCACGCTTTGCAAAAGTGCTGTGTTTTACACGCAGCCCACGAGCGCAATCGAGCAGTGAGTTTCTGAATTCGCAAGAAATACATATGTGAGCAAACATATAGGCTTCAAGTGTTGGTCCTTTTGCAGGCTCAAGGTGTCTGACCATAATTCTCAACATGAGCTCATTCGCCACTGTAGGCTTTTCCACCGACCAGCTGATTCTTTGCCGGGTTTCAGCATGGCAGCTGCATCTTGCACCACAAGTGACACCTGCGCAACATGTGCAGTTGGCCCTCTGTGGAATCCTTTCTGACTCAAGCCGCACCATTTGCGCCAAAGCGGCTACAGTAGTAAGATTGGGGACATTGGCGATAGGTTCAATCCGGAGTCCTTTGATCAAACCACAAAATTTCACAGTGAAACCTAAGATTTGCCGTGTGACTCTGTGACATTGCATCAAGAAGGACCTATTACTTACAGCTCTCACCCACCTCACCGATCCTGAGGCGATAAGTAGTCGCTCCGATCCTTCCGCGCCGCGAGGAAAGGGAAGGAGCTCCGCACTGAAGCCAATTCTTCCTTGGTGGCCTCATGCACGACCACCGCTTCCTCAATCCTGAGCCGATTGTGGAGTGGATCGATGTAACACATACGAAGTAGCTTGCACAGTAGCCTGGAACCTTCGAAGCCACCCCTGATTCCTAGCTCTGGTCGGGAGCTGGGACCTTTATCGAGCTGTCGGGTCTGCGCTCACAATCCTTTTGATACACATATTAATATTGCTAATGTTTTGTGGCGTTGGCAGCTGCTTGCTTACTTAAGTTAGGACTGTCAACCCAGTGCACCCCATCGGCAAGCATAAAGTGGTGATTTGGGCAGGTAGTCATGGTGGTCAATATGTAACATATTATATATATATTTATATTTATATACTTATTTAATTAGCGTTCCCAGTCACGTGACCACTTTCCTATTGCTTTTGGATGCTTTTGGGTGTCTCTTGTCGAATAAAGGATCTCCGACCCTTGTTTGCTGACCATGTTTCCGTCTCCGTGACATCGCCACCATAAAGCCTGGTGGGTGGACAGCATCTGTTGACGCTTCACACTGCCGGGGCCCGCCCTCAAACACTAGGTCTACTGGGTGCGTTTATGGCGTTTGTGGATTGTTCGGCATCTAACTGTGCAACGACTCGGTGGTGACGCGTTTAGAGCGACTTAAGACGTAGGACCAACGTGCACCAATCCTGTGGGTTCTGAATCCGCTCTGTCAAATCCATCGTAACAGCCCATTGTTTTCAACGAACACTGTGATGATAATTAATGGTGTGAACTTATTGCATGTGGACAGTACAGTAGGTCCTGTCGGCAACCTCAATGGTACAACACACCCTTGCCCCAGCGTCCAAGGCTCCCCAGTCTGAACATCTTTCCTCGGCTTTTCAAACAAATCGGGTTGGCAGCGAGAGTATCTATGTCAACATTGAGCCACCTCCTGTTGCAACTAGCAAGGGGGCTCTAGGACATTCCAGGACGGACATTCCTTCCTTTCCTTTGCGTTTGCAACATTTTGCAACTGGTTGCCCTTAGCCTTTGCGTACATGAAGCGTGAGAGACGTGCTCCGAGCTGCGGTTGACCATCATGAAAGACTACTTCATGAACCATAACTGAACCATATTTGTCCTACTCCTCATTGCTTGAACTCCTGGCGCTGATGGCCTTTCGCCAAGCTTCTTTCCACTCCATCCACCCATGGCGGGCACCACATGGAACCTCCGAAGTGGTCCCCCGCGTAGTTCACTGCAGCCCAATACCTGTGCTGCGAAAGTGGCCAAGTGGGGCTTCGGTGGCTACATAGCGACCCCGTGCTTGCAGGGAAAACTGAATGAATCATTTAACGTGCAGCAACGAGACCCTGGAACCTGCTCGCATGTGGAAGAAACTAGACATTGACAACTCTACAAACCCATGACAGATCAATGATCTAAAATGATCTCAGTACTGACCTACATGCTATATATATATATACAATTATATACAGCTTTAGGAGGGCACCACTGGACCACCACGCAGTTGACCCAGAAAGAGTTTAGGATTCCAAGAGTCGATTGGAATCCGAGAGAGCATCATTCACCGTACATTGCCCAGCTTTCCCTAACAGGTGATTGGTTTGACCGCCTGAGCGAGCTTGCGAACTGTCATTGGTGAAGTCATTGTGAAATCAATTGGTTACACCACTGTTGTTCGGACGTCGGGAGGTGTCGGAACGTATTGAACCACCACCCCAAGACAAAAGTCTGCCAGGTCACACTTGGTTTTCAAGTGCTCGGCATTCCACGAAGGACGGCCAACTTGCGAAGGTCACATCGCGTGCAAAGGCCGTAGGGTGCAGCAGGACATCGCAGCCACGGCCAATGGCCAGTTCACGACAAAGCTCTGTGTAGCGCATATCCGCACAAATCAACACTCCAAGTCCTCGATGTGCTGGGTCCATACCCTTTTGTCTCCAACATGCTACCGTTTCCAAAGGACAAAGCACACACCGGAATTTGCTGGGTGGTGATTTAGGCTTGCCACGGCACTGAACAATTGGAGCAAAACACACGTTGACGGCTACGTACCCCATGCAAACCCCTTCCACAATCTGCGAAACCACTGGAACGTGGCCCTCAGTCGCATGGATCACAGCCCTCAGTCGCATGTGAAGGCGGCATCTCTTCAAAATGGGTCGCCTAAACTATCCAAGTACGAAAACAAACGAATAGCCAGCGACATGTGTCCAACTTCTAGATGTAGATCAGGGATCCAACCCCATCATTTTCACAAGGATCCCACAAGTCGGTCTCTTTGCTGGGGCGCCACAGTAGTGGCACATGACCTTTGCATGAACCAGTTGTGAATTTCTACCAGGATCTCACCCTCCCACTGCCGAAAAATCAGCACAGGCACGGAAGCCACGGCAGTCGAAGAAGCACAGATGTTCTCCAGGACGAAACCAGTTGGTCTCACGACCATCCCCAAAGTGGCATAAATGAATCCTGGGCAGCAAATTGGCTTTCAATCACGCCCGGTGAAAAACGAGAAACACCTGCAGCAACTCAAAATGGATATGTTTGTACCTGCATATGCACTGTCGCTCACTCGAAGGGAGTCCACTTGTTGGGGTTGGCCTGAAAGTCTGTTCCAGCCTGTCCGGCCTATCTTCGAAGGTCACGTGGGCCCAAAACGAATCAACCACAAGAATTTAAAAGAATTGCTGGCTTCTTCAAAAGTGACCTTTGGACTACCTTGTGGGGGACAGGGTCGGAGAATAACGTCCCAGAATCTTATCGTAGGTGGCAATTACAGCGCCAGAGTTGTCCAGGACCACTTGACGGATGGTATAGCCCCCATCTGGATGACAAAATGGCACGCCGTAGCCTTGGAACATGCTGGGAGATGGGAATGAACACATCGTTGCTGGGCAGGTTTCGTGCCAACCTGCCAAGACGTCGCCCCAAACATAACGGTTTCGCCCGGTCAGTGGTCAGGAGTTAAAGAAACCATGGCACTGGGGACATCAACTGGAAAACTGCCCACACTTCACAGGAAGGGAACAAATGAATGCATCACGCTCCTTCGCAACTGTTGACAGCACTTGGCATGTGGCAGCATCTGGCCCTTCAGCTTCTGCCCAAACATCCAAGGAATCAAACACATGCTGGTTGTAGCCTTCGCACACACATATAGAAACTGACACGGCTGAACAGTTTCCGTAGTGGGGGATACTGGTGTTGGTGATCTTTCCCTGAGGATGTTCCCTAAGTGAATGAAGGATCATGGAATGGTCGCTGGGAAAGCAACCAAACAAAAAGTAACATATTCTACTACTAGGAGCAAGGACGCTACTAGGGGCTCCTAGCCTTTCTGCTAGTAACAAGAAGCTACTAGGAACAAATGCTCCTAGTAGGGTCACACAAAAGTAACGGGACCCTTGGCCGACCTGCCGCTCACTTGGTCAGAACGGAAGCCGAGCACCCTCACCCTCCGCCTGTGGGTGCAAGCTCTGGCAACAAATAAATGTCCGCGCTAGGCGCTGCCATGATCACGTCAGCAGCATGTTGCAGGACGTCTTCTTTGCAGCTCTCCTGGTCCTCTGCTTGCTGTATTTGTACCAAAGCCACTTTCAAGGACCCCATGGCACTTCTCCACCATCGTCTTTCTGGGTGAGTGGCATATAGCCTAAAGCTAAGATTGAAAGCATCAGGTTCGAGCCAAACATGAAGTAACATTGAATTGGTCAATGAGTGCAGCCGCAACTGACGTGGGACTGCAAGGCAAACGCGGCAGTTGAGCATAGGGCGTGGATCTCCTCCCAAACTCACCACACGTGCCGATTGTCAAAAGTCAGGGGCCCCACTTTGCGGTTTACCTTTCCGCTCCTAGACTGCAATGTCCTACAAGGATGCCCTGCCTGACAACCAAGCAAAGAAGCCAAAGCTAAAGCAACTACTATACGTAACACGAACATAGACGAACTCTAGGGGATTGAGCAGTCCGGTGGCCATCTAATATATTCTAATATATGTGTATACAATGATTTGATGTGACTACTGTAACATATAATATGTAAACTATAAATTCTGTATGTCGCATGCCAATAGTCGCAGCCCGCGGGTGTGGCGACTCCCTGGTGGATGATTTTTGCGACTGGCCACTATACTATACAACAATTCTGGACCCTTGTTGAGAATTCAAGGCATGCCCAAATGTTTCCAACAGCAGTTGCTCTAAACTACCCTGCCGCCAGCTTGCCTTTTTGGTGAGACCATGCCTGAGCATCATGTTGGCCAGGATTTGCTCACAGGGACAGCCACCACTTTGTGTGTGGTAGCCACCAGGGTGGGCAAAAGTCTTTCAAGACCGCGTGCTATTGCTAAGCATTTCTTCCTTGACTTGCATGCATCCAGGATCACTGGGGCCCACGGAACTAGATCTTCTTCCCAAACAGGTAGGTTTGCACGCACCCAGTAGAAGGAGCCGAAAACGATGTTCCAAACTGTACGCGGTGGAAACCGTTGTTCACTCATCAATGACCAAACCTCTTTCATGCGCTGTACCGATTTGGAGTCGAAGGCTCCCTGCGTGAGATTGAAAGCGACATGGCTGGTCAGCTCGTTGTTGGACCAGGTCAGGTTGGTGGGACCAACCATGCCAAGCACGGGGTCTTTGAACTGGTCGATGATCGCACGGACCGAATCAATGCTTCCACAGAGACCACTGATACTCAGGTTCCGCACCTGGTCCTGATGTCCCCCACCACTGCAGTGCAGCTTCAGAATGATATCGTTGTCCGTAAGCAAGTCCTTTGCGAGGAGGAGTTGCTGCAAGAAAACACCATTATCAGCGCCCCTGTCTTCAGCATATGATAGGATGTCAAACTGTAAAGATGCAGGGGCAGATTGCCTTATTACTGGAAGTATGAGATGTATATATTGGTGGCGCATGGTCGCGGTCACGATGAGATCCACTGTGCCAGGGACAGCAGCTTCCAATACTGTCTGCACACATTTCTTCACTTCCTTCCATGGATGCATATCAAACAACTGGATGAAGATGCCGATTTTCGGCCCTGGCGACGCGGAGGCCGCTTTCGGACGTCTGAGCCGCGCCAGCAAGCCGGACATTCGCGCCGGGCGGGTTTCCGCCAAGAACGCCTGCATGGCCAAGCGCCCCTTGGCGCCCATGGCCGAGCGCTCGCGGTTGCTGAGGGACAAGATCTTGGCCAAGCTTCTTTGCAGCGGCTTGGCACTTTCATGGCCTTCTTGACGAGGCTCGGAGGTCCTGAGGAAGTTTTGCGAGAATCACCGACAACCTAGGAGCAATGTTCGCTTCTAGGAGCAAAGGGCATCGCTACTAGGAGCAAGGACGCTACTAGGGGCTCCTGGCATCGCTACTAGGAACAAGAAGCTATTAGGAACAAGTGCATCGCTTCTAGTAACAAGTGCCTTACTAGTAGTAACAAGAAGCTATTAGGAACAATTACCATGCAAAGGGGCCCATCCCATTCGTGGCAGCCTCCCAGCTCAAAACAGTTGGGACGTGTGAAGGCAAGAAATCGTAGTGAAGCCGGAATTGCAAGAAATGTGCATTTCCAGTGGTTCCAGCGTCAGAGTCAAAACCCAAAGAATGTTTGAACGAAAGGCGCGGGTGTTGAGTGTGGAGCGGGCTTGTGCAATCTTGCATGTTCTTGATCCTGCATCATCCTTTTGGTCTTGTTCTTGGAAAACTTGACTGCTCCAGGTACACGCCCCCCCAAAGCAATGCTTTTGCAAGGTTGGGACCTTGGGAGGAATTGTGGGAAGAGAACCTGGTGGAATATCAAACGTCATACGACTCTCCTTCATTCAAATTGCACCTAGCTTCGCTGGCGTCATGCCATCCTCATCATTGCCCATGAGAACAGGGACCCCAAATGATTTGGCCAAGCTCACATCTGTGGCAAATGCTGTTGAGGTCAAGCTCACCTGCTGCTGTCTGGGTCAAGCTGCCCGTAGTGGTCAGTTCTAGCAAGTCTAGTGGGCATCGCTGCCAAAGAAAGCAGGTAATTAGGTGGAGGTACTATGTACATCAATGTGCTGCCCTCCAACTCCCTATCATGGAAGTGGAAGAGTGTGTATAATACAGTGGCTTCAGAGTAGATCGCACAATTCCCAAAGGGTGGACTATATGGACCCGCATGTTGAAGACATCTTGAAGTCTGTACCACTGTGAATCATAGAGCATAGTCCCCAACATAGTTCTCTGAGGATGTCTGAGGGATGCGCCGGGCCGGAGTGGACCTATATATGCTGCTGTTCGGCCGAAATCCCCCATATACCTATATATAAGTGACAAGAATGCATGTAAAATGAATTCTCCCTCCCTCTCTCCCTCTCTCTCTCTCTCCAGTGACGAAGCATTTCTTCAGAACTTACTCGCTGGCTGATGCAGCTGATTCATGGGGTGCATTGCATACAGTGCGTTTAGTGTAGAGAATGAAACTGAGGTCCAAACATGCAGGTCAGCAACTGCCATATGCCTTTCAAACTCTCTTCTGTTTGAGAGGTGCAGGGCACCCTTGCAATTTGCTCCACTCCACTCCCCGAAGATCACGAGAAACCAGGACCCGAACTTGCTTTTCAATTCCTCGACAATGTCCCTGCATATGAAATCCTCTCTTCGACCATGCCCACGTGGACATGAGTCTGAGAACACTGTGACCATAAAAAACATTTGCCTTTAAACTATGCTGGTGCAAGATATCTTTGCGGCTGATACCGATTTGCTCGTCGCCAACCTCGGCAAGGCAACCGCAACCGCAACGACTGATGGCAGCACATGAGTGTAGAAGAAACGTATGACCACAACACAATATGACCAAGTTCCCGGCTACTGGCGCAAATGGTGGAAAGAGCATGAAGTGACCACGGTCATGTGCTGCCCAATTTCGTTTTTTCGGCGAGGCTCGCAAACACAACGCGGTGAGCATTGGCCATTGCATCTCCAATTTGCTGCTTCAAAAGCTCCTCCAATAAACAGGAATGACATCATCTTGTTGAGTCATCATGGGGTACTGACCATATACTATATGTTTGATAGGATCCACTTCATCACTGAGCATTGATAAATGGCAATGCCAATAACCTGATCAGAAATGATCCCCATGGATGGTTTGATCTAATCTACTATGATCTAAAACTAGATGTAAATCATCCGTCCTCCACCTGCCTGAGGACCAGTGACCAGTGAGAGACCATTATTAGCCCAGTCTTCCACAATACAAAAGCTCTTCATTGGCTTGTAAGGCAGCTACCCCACCCTGAGTCCTTGGGCGTGTTGCAGGTGGGGAAGTCATAGAAATACCACACCAAGCGAACATCAGGATCCTCGTGGGCCAACTGGAGGAAGAAGGGCGCCCAAGTGCCAGAGAAGAAAACAATAAATTGTGGACGCTCGTCACCACTCTCGTCCCACACAGTTCCTCAATTGATGCGGCATGGAACCTGGAACAACATTATATAATAGTATAACAAAACAACATCTGATGTTCTCTTGGCATTATCTGCATTTGGTTCTTTTGTCATGCCCATTCACTCCCACCAATTCACCTGCCCCTCAACAACACGAGAAACAATAGCAACATGTAATTATATGCTGAGTTGTTGGCCAGTTGCCTCCGATAGCATCCCATACACTGTTCCTCTCGCCTGACAGGAGCTTGTGCAATCGAGGGTTGACTCGAACACTGAAGTCATAGGATGGATCCAATTGGTCCAGCACCGGCCCTTCGACAGGACTCTCCAAGGTGACTCTATGACCCAAAGCCATCAGCTCCGCTCCAAAGGTCAGCATGAAACTAGTGTCAGCTCTTCTGTCAAAGTCATGGGTCCAAAGCAGAAAGCGCATCTTCGACTGCGTCACGCTGGAAAAATCCTCTCCAGTCTTGCTCAACGGAGTGGTCCTGTTCTCCTGTTCCTCGCCGCCCTCAGCCATGTCTAAATCGCTGCTTTCATCAACCACATCTGCCACATGCTTCGCATGTAGCACCAGTTCAACCGTTCCCTTTGTGGATTGAGTGGATTGCCAAAGTGGAAGAACCGCAAAAGGCACAAACAAACACAAGAACAGCAGGAAACAGTAGGATCTCCGTGTGGCGACGACCATGCACCGGCCCTGATCGCATGCCACAATGCAATGCAAACTTTACATACAGTATAACATGTTCTTGTTTACAATGCCTGGGATGCAATATGACGGAGTTTGTCATGTGTGGGGCAACTCGGAGGTCTAATGCAGGATAACCTATATTTACTTGGCTGTCATATGCTATCATGAATCCCGGGCTCTCTTTCGGGCTACTGCTGATGTGCAGCAGGACATGCAATGCGATTGGACTTCAGTGACATGACATGGGCACCGGCCACCTGCTTTCCAAATCTTTCAAGTTGCTCTTGCTGTCGGAAGGTGGGCAGGCTACATCGACAGGACGTTGGGTGCAACCGTCCGCATGGTGGACCTCATGGGTGAAACTGCTACCTAGACCCCTTCACAGAAAAACCTCAGCAACTGTTGCGAAAGGTGCGGGTCCGTACTGACCTGGAAAGGATATGACTCAGCGGCTGGGCCCCTGGGCCGGCCTTCTCGAGACAATCCCTGTAGAAACGATAAGAAAAATAAACGACTCCCACCATGATATTTCAATCTGACAAATTTTCTAGCATGTATTGAAATGAAACATTGTTTCGGCGTTCTTTCTGGCATATCTTCTGGCATTTCTCTTGGCATCTCTTCTGGTTTCTGGCATATCTTCTGACATTCTTTCTGCCATATCTTTTTGGCATTTTTTTTTGGATCTTTTTGGCATTCTATCTAGCATTTCTTCTGACTTGCGGTTAAAGTCCGGCGGAGAACGCTGCCACGCGACCTTGAGGTTCCACGGGGAACGCTGCCACGCGACCCTCGCAGTTGAGGTCCGGCAGGGGACACTGCCACACGGCCCTCCCGGTTGAGGTCTGGCGCGAAGCACTGCCACGTGAGGTCCGGCGGGGAAAACTGCCACACGGCCCTCACAGTTGAGGTCCGGCAGGGAACACTGCCACACGGCCCTCGCAGTTGAGGCCCGGCTCCGGCGGAGAACACTGCCACAGGGCCCTCGCAGTTGAGGTCCGGCGGGGAACACTGCCACACGGCCCTCGCAGTTGAGGTCCGGCGGAGAACACTGCCATGCGACCCTCGCAGTTGAGGGACGGCGCGGAGGACGAGGAGGAGGAGGAGGAGGAGGCCAGAGACAGCTGACATAGATCTAGCAACCCTCACCTGGGTAAAAAATGACTTTGAGTGATCCCCACCATGACATTTCAATCGGACAAACTTTCTGGCATGTATTGAAACATTGTTAACATGATTTTGGCTTTCTTTCTGGCATATCTTCTGACATTCCACCTTGCATATCGTCTGACGTTTTTCTGGCATTGATTTTGCATTCTTCCTGGAAAATCGTCTGACATTCTTTCTGGCATATCTTCTGGCAATGTTTAATTTTTTGACATTCTTGTGGGCATATCTTCTGACGTTCTTTCTGGCATATCTTCTGACATTCTTTTTCGCGTATCTTCTGACATTCTATCTGGCGTTTTTTTGACATTCTTTCTGGCGTATCTTCTGCTGACATTCTTGGATCTCTTCTGACATTCATTCGGGCATATCTTCTGACCTTCTTTCTGGCATATCTCCTGACATTCTTTCCGGCATATCTCTTGACATTCTTTCTGGCATATCTTCTGCATACCTTCTGAATCCTGCTGACTTTCTGACATTCTTTCTGGCATATCTTCTGGCTCGCGGTTGAGGCCCGGCGGGAACACTGCCATACGACCCTCGCAGTTGAGGTCCGCCGGGGAACACTGCCACACGGCCCTCGCAGTTGAGGTCCAGCAGGGAACACTGCCACACGGCCCTCGCAGTTGAGGCCCGGCGGGGAACACTGCCACCCGACCCTCGCAGTTGAGGTCCGGCAGGGAACGTTGAGGTCCGGCGGGGAACACTGCCACGCGACCCTTGCGGTTGAGGTCCGGCAGGGAACGTTGAGGTCCGGCGGGGAACACTGCCACGCGACCCTTGCGGTTGAGGTCCGGCGGGGAAAGCTGCCACGCGACCCTCGCAGTTGAGGTGTGTCGAATGCCATGTCAATGTCAATAACACTGGCAGCCCCATATGTGGGGCCCACTGACTTGCCGCCCTGCAAGTACTGTACAGGGGCCCACTTCCATCCGCTTGCCACCCCAAAACCACATTTGATTTTGCTTTGACTGAAGCCGCCTCTGTAAGTGAAACTCGGCGAGCAACTGTTGATTAATCGGTGATGCCGTCAGTGTTTCACGGCACGGCAATCCTCTGCCTCATGGTAACTAGTGTTGGCAGTAGTTGTTCTAGGCCAACTACAGCAGAGCACTCCTGTCTGGGCTTGCATCCTTCGAGGATCTTCGGGGCAAACGGAATGAGATATTCTTCCCAAAGTGACTGGTTTGCCCTCACCCAGTAGCATGATCCGGACACCAATGTCCAAGCCCATGGCGGAAGCCGAGGCCTCTCTCTGCTCAACATGGACCAAACGCCTTTCATCGGCTTCCATGACGTCACATCAAAGTCAATTTTTTGCTGACCAACTGTGTGATTGTTGAGCAGCCCATCTTTTGTAAAGGTCAAGTTGGTGGGTCCAATCATGCCGAGGGTTTGGTCTCCAATGAACTGGTCAATGATCCCACTGACTGTTTCAACACTTCCGCAAAGGTCACGTGCCACCATCTCACTCCAACCAGAATCATTTTTTTGTCCGCAGCTTTAAGATGAGATCGTGCTCCAATTCCAATTCCCGTGTGAGAAGGAGCTGCTGCAGAAACACCCCGTTGTCACTCCCTCTGTGATCGGCTTTTGAAAGCACGTCGAATCGCAGGGACGCAGGAGCTGACTTCCGCACGGTGGCCAGGAATTTCGTGAAGGAGATATGTGGCTTGGTCGTGGTGAGGATCACGTCAACAGTGCTATTTGTGCTGTCGGCTGCAAGCAGGACCATGTCAATGCACCTCCTCAAGGATTCACTCACACCCGGATACATCAACTGGATGAAAAGGCCAATTCGATGAGCTGGGGGGGGCGGTACAGGATCTTCGAAGCAAAACGAGCAAATAAGACCGACGAACTGAAGCTAATAGCCTCGGCTGCACCTGCAGTTTGTCTCGAGTTTTCATGGCGGAGAGCTGGCTGGATGTCATCTTCATCATCTTGGCCAGGCTCGTCTCAAAAGACTTCTGGATCATGTGATAGTTGGAGGAAATCCTAAACAAGCACTGCTCTCAAAGGGAAAAACACTTGGAAGGAGAAAGGACCGGAAAAAAGGGCCGAGCTAAATGAACCATATAAACGTATACTGCAAGTGCCCCAAGCAGTGGCTTCTAGGCTGCAGGGGTTCACCACATTGGAGTTGTTATTTGCCGATGTTCAAGCCTGTGGCTTTGGAAAAAAACTGCGCCGCCATCGCCGCCATCGTCCATCCAGCAACACTTGACAAATCAACAAAAATACACTTATATGCTGCATGGAGCAGTAGGACCCTGTCAGTAGCCATATTGTAATTTTGCCCGCTTGCAGGAAATTCTTTTGAAGGTTGGAGGCTTAAAACAATTGATTACGTTGGTCAAGCTGAGTGTGCTTGTCTTTTTCACCATAGCCTGGTTGCACATAAACATAAGGAGGAGCATCCACTCCATGCTGTTACCAGGAGCCAACGGCAAATCCCATTTGGTACTTGTAACTTGTAACTATTTTCTTGGCACTTTGACAGTCGTCTTGAATTGTCTCCGACAGGGTTGCATCATGTCACAGAAGTCAGTGAGGGATCAAATAACCCACATCCACAAGTCAAAAATTGCCGCGACAAAAAAAAACAAAGCACATGTTACAAGTTACAATTATGGTATCATTTTACAACTGACACACAAAAATTTACCTAGGCAAGAAAGCTGTACATAACTTTCTCTGCCATCCGGTGCCCACAAATCTTCCAGGCTTCAGTCCATCATGCCCGCGACGCTCGAGCACCGGGAGTCCGAAGTACCGGGCGACCAAGGCATCTGTGGCAAAAGCGGATGGTGTCCAGCTCACCTAGGCGCTGGTGTTACCATGCGCAATGCAAGTGGATATGCAAAAGCACTGTGATTACTGCAATGCTCATACAGTACCCGAAATGCCTTCCATGTCTTTCAATCAAACCTTGGCACCTCCGCGGATAATTATTGTCCCTATGCAAGGACTGCAACATAACACCGCAATTTAAGACCGGAAACCTGCAAAAACCAATCAAACAGAAGCTAGTAGCTAGTAGAAAGCAAACGATGAAGCAATGCCTTCAACAGGTTTGGGCAAATCATGGAGCATGCCGCAAGACCACAGCAAAAGCAGGACACATGCAGCAGGAAAGGACCAATACAGAAAACACAAGTCCACCGGAGTCAACAGCTTTTCACCAGTTCATTGTTGTGGGCGTTAGCAATTCACCCCCCCCAAAAAAAATAACTCCTCACCTTCATGGTGCCCAAGCGAGCAGTGCACCCATGCCTGACAATAATGCCTTGCCCTCACATCCAAAGCAAGCTGCAAGCTGTAAACCAAATGCCGTGACTGAATGCAACCATGATCCCACAAATCAGGTGACAAACTGCAGACTTGCAGTTCCTGTTTTTGCAGTTTTGTGAAACCAACCTGGGAAGGATCTCCAGGGCATTGAGGCATCAATAACAAATACAGTACCCTGAAAATCACTGATTTGAACACATTACAGCTGACCCACATGGAAGCGGCTTCATTCACCTGAGGTTCCTGATAAGATTGTCAAACCCTGGTGACAGGCATTCTCATTCACATGCAGGCTGCATGCTGTCGCTTGTGTCAAACAGGCCTTGACGAAACCCTTTGCAGAAAAGAGAGCGCGCTTCTGA